AAATATACTGTGAATACTTACATATTCAGACGTAAAAGTCAAGACCTTTCATCATTTCCGCCATTCCTACGCGCATGCATCATTGCGCATCGGAAATATCCTGTTTGGATGCGCGCGCATCAGCGCGCGTCTAAAATATCAAATGTGTGTTATGGCAGACGATAAAAGTGTGTGATGGTGTAACACAATTTCACATCTTACTATTCTTCTGAGGACTTTCACCAAATTTCACCACGTGATGTAGTTCGATATTTTGTGACGATACAAGCAATTTTTTTCCGAGGACGTGGAAAAAGTCCTCGGAAGAAATTTACGTCCTCGGAGTAAAGGTGTTTTTTCACACCATAGTCCTCGGGAGATCGGTGAAACCAACACACCCTCCCTCACACACACACACACACACCCTCACACACACACACACACACACACACACACACACACACACACACACACACACACACACACACACACACATATATATATATATATATATATATATATATATATATATATATATATCTATATCTATATCTATATCTATATATATATATATATATATATATATATATATATATATATATCTATATATATATATCTATATATATATATATATATATATCTATATCTATATCTATATATATATATATATATATATATATATATATATATATATATATATATATATATATATATGCACGATGCTCATAGACTTCAAAAGAGTTTTTGAACAACCCCTTTCCTTATCTTGTGTGTTTGGTGCTTTCCTGAAATCTCCAGGCATTACCCCTTCCTGGCAGACCCCAAAAGTTCACAGTGATCCTGCCCGTTGCCACTATTATCCGCAATGTTATAGTATATGCCGGTAGCTGTTTTGCTCAGAAATAGCTTGTATCTAATAAATGTGTAAATCATAAAAAAAAAACCCAATAGATTACTTGAATATGTATACATATAATTAGCTTAAGCAATAAATTGCTTTTTATATTTACATTTACCTTGTTTTCTCTGTGATAACTCTTTGAAACTCTTTGAAAGGTAAGTGTGTTGATTTCTCAATAATTACAATTGAATGTAAAAAGTCAAGTTCCTAATATGCATGTCAATCTCTCGCGGCTGTCATTGTGTCTGACGTAAGGGGGCGGGGATTATGGAAATTAACATGGAATGCCTCGTGTATTTTAAATCTATTAGACAGCATTTTTTATTAATAATTTTTTATTTCACATATAAATGGAAATATAAGGGATCACCCGTGGCTTCTCCCGTTATGCAAATTATCCCACGTTTCCAACTGTCGTTGATACCCTGGCATACACAACAAACTAGATAGTGATTCCTTAAGTATACAATTATTAAAAAAACAGGTACACCATTGCTTTATTGTGAAAGAATTTTTTCAGAGTCATATATATAAAAATAGAAATTGTAACACAATACTCTTTAAAACATGAATACAAAATAAATCAAATAGCAATGTACATATCAATTTTCCTTTAGCAATCTAAAGCATTCTTTTAGACAACGATAAAGCAATCTATGTAAAAGTTATGTTACTGATACATTTTTAAGCTTATTTAAAAGTCAATTGCCAAAACAATGAATACAGAATATCAATTTTATTTAACTTTTTGAATGGAAAAGTTACAGCCAATTGGAAGTGAAAGAAAAGCAGTCTTAAAGCATATCGGGGGTTTTCTTTGAAAAAAAAAATGTAAGAGAAAGCTGATACAATTCCTATGGTAAAATCAGTTATTTAGGTCTGGTTAACTTCAGTGTTTCCATTTTTATTCATAAAAAGAGACAGCTTGTTAGTTTTTTACCATTTCCCCTCTCAAATCCAAATAATTAAATATTTATATGATTATGTCAATGAAACTTTTGATATTTTTAAAGTTTCTTTACTGATATAATTGCTCCGTTAACTTTTGAGTTACGTAAAACAAGTGACCAGACTATTGCAATTATTAGTCCCCTACCGCTGAAACCGGAGGGGACTATAGGTTTCCTCTGAGTCTGTCCGTCCGTCTGTCGGTCTAGCTGTCAGTCTGTCCCTCTGTCTGTCTGTCAGTCTGTCCCAATTGGTTTTCCGTACATTTTTTCTAAACGCTTGCAGATATTGAGCTGATTTTTGGTATGTGAATGTATCTTGATGAGATACAGATCAAGTTTGCATTTCGTTCCGCTTCAATGACTTTTGACGGAATTACAACATTTTTCAATTTTACAAGGTTTTCCGTGATTTTTTTTCTAAACGCTTGCAGATATTGAGCTGATTTTTGGTATCTGACTTTACCTTGATTTTTGACGGAATTATAATTGCATTTTCAATTTTTAACGGGAACCAGATTACACTTGCCGGTAGGGGACTAGTATTGCTAATGCAATACTCTCAGAATGCTTGTTACTATTGTCATATATCGTGCCATAATACGAGAGGATTTTTTGTGCTTGGAGTGAATGTTACACAAAGGTATAAAGGGCTGATCAAGCGGGGAGGGGGGGGGGGAGTTGCTTATTCAGTCTTTTCTGGATTTTCAGTTTAATCAAATACTTAATCTTTGCCTTAGACAGAAATCATACACACTGGAAGCACGGGCAAACCAATTAACAATTCAATGTCCAATCAATCATCGGCTGTTCATGTCATAAATATTTTTTCAAACATTTTTGCTATTTTTCTGCCTGACTACAAATCCTTACAAGGCATTGGCAAACCAGTCAAATTTATTGATAGTCTCAGTAGATCAAAACCAATTTATAAAAAAACAAGTATTCTGAGAGTATTGCATTAGCAATACTAGTCCCCTACCGACAAGTGTAGTCGGTTCCCGTTAAAAATTGAAAATGCCATAATTCCATAAAAAATCATTGAAGCGGAAGGAACTGCAAACTTAATCTATAACTAATCAAGGTAAAGTCACATACCAAAAATCAGCTCAATATCTGCAAGCGTTTAGAAGAAAAGTGCGGAAAACCCTTAAAAATTGAAAAGGACGTAATTCCGTAAAATATCAATGAAGCAGAACGAAATGCAAACTTGGTCTGTAACTCATCAAGATACACTCACATACCAAAAATCAGCTCAATATCTACAAGCGTTTAGGAAATAAGTGCGGAAAACCAAGTGGGACAGACTGACAGACAGACAGAGGGACAGACAGACGGACGGACAGACCTGCAAGCGTTTAGGAAAAAATCTGCAAGCGTTTAGGAAAAAATCACGGAAAACCCTGTAAAATTGAAAAAGGTTGTAATTCCGTCAAAAGTCATTGAAGCGGAACGAAATGCAAACTTGATCTGTATCTCATCAAGATACGCTTGCAGATATTAAGCTGATTTTTGGCATGTGAGTTACAGATCAAGTTTGCATTTCGTTTCGCTTCATTGATTTTTCACAGAATTAGGACCTTTTCAATTTTTAAGGGTTTTCCTTGATTTTCTTCCAAACGCTTGCAGATATTGAGCTGCTTTTGGCATGTGACTTAACCTTGATGAGTTATAGATCAAGTTTGCATTTCGTCCCTCTTCAATGATTTTTGACGGAATTCTGGCATTTTCAATTTTTAACGGGAACCAGATTACACTTGCCGGTAGGGGACTAGTATTGCTAATGCAATACTCTCAGAATGCTTGTTGAAAAAGAAAGAAAAAAGAAACCTAATTCTTTTCTGATTTGTTCCTTTTTTGTCTTTTTGTTGCTTTTTGCAATAACAGCAATTATTCTCTGAATTATCTTGTTAATATGTACCCTATTTCACTCGAATTCAACTCAACGCATCAACTTTCTTTCAATAAAGTACTAAATATTCAATTCAGTTCTTATTACAAAGAAACTCTATAGTTTTGAAAATTACAATTATTTTCACAACTTGGTTCTACGAGAAGATCAAAATCAAAAATATCGTTAGCAAAAGTGATAGTTACATATTTACTTGGGAAAAATGAACAACATGCAGATTTCGTACATAGTATTGATCTAAAAGTAAATTAGACTGAAATGGCTTTGCCCCAATACACACAACCTGCTTGTCAGAAAAAAAATTGAGTGGGAATTATCTGTGATCAGATATGGGACCCGAAATAAATTCTAGATCTTCTCTTTAGAAATGCCGACTGTTGTCTCATGTTTTCGTACACATTTGCAGAAAAAAATGATAATTACACTCACACACACATCGAATGTAATATATTTCACTTTCTACTTTACATCGAACAAATCCAGAAATTAACACAAGGAAGTACAAATAAACTTGCAAATGTATTCAAACATGCACTTTTGCAGTTAGGATCTGGATGGACAGAGGTAGAATGAATGATCATTTTCGGTATTTTCAGTGATGGTGTCATGTTACTTTAACAATTTGAAACACACACATGAACTTGAGATTACAAATTTTGTAAGTCATGATATGCATATGCACATGTTTAATAAAAACATCACATATCGTATCACAACGTATCATTGTAACTCATAATTATTTCAAACAAAGTTTAAACTCTCTTGTGAATGATTCTCATTTATTTTCACTTATTTTGATAATGAAGAAATAAAAGAAAATACGTATTTCCCCATAACTTATGTAGCTTTTGAGGGCTTCAATACCCGAATATATTTAAATAAAAACAGTTACCCGATTACTTATTGATAAAGGCAGCTGCTAAATAAAACAAAGTAGCAAAATTTCATAAGGTTTTTACGAAGGTTGCGGGTTTAAAATTGTTTATTTTTCATTATATAATGATGAAAATATGTTTCGTTTTCTGTTTTAAAAGGTCTGCAAATCTGTAACCTACTTTTGAAATCAATTATATCCTACGTTTTTATGCTTTACACAAAATGCACTGATAATTGAACACTCAACCCAATAGAAACTTATTTAAAATGTGCTATTTTGATAATAAATTATATTTTCTTGCATAGATTTAAAAGACTGTGATCTTCAAATTAACTTTCATCAGATATTTATTATATGAAAAAAAAAACCATATATAAAGTATACCTTGTCGAATTGCATGTCATCACACCAAGATAAGGGGCAGAAGAATAGTTTGTTTTCGTTACGTACTGGGACCCGCCTTCACATCCATTCCAGCTAGCATCATACGAAAAATTATACAGCAACCAACAGTGGCTTGATTCTAAGCAATCTAGGTGGAGAGAAAGTTATTAATGTATCATACATAAAATTAGTGCATGAAAATAATTAATCAAAGCTCTTTAAAGAAAACTAGGATCATCAGTAAACAAATAAAGAACATATAAAAGTGGGTACAAGAATAGTTATTTATATAAAATTTGTTTCAAATTGTTTGAAAGAAAATATCCTGTCGATCTATAACGTCTGCTAAAAAAGAATATATATATATATATATATATATATATATATATATATATATATATATATATATATATCTATATATATATATATATATATATATATATATATATATATATATATATATATATATATATATATATATATATATATATATATATATATATATATATATATATAATGAATTCGTGGAAAATTACACCAGACGATGTCCAAACATGAAAAATAAAACATTGACACTCTGTCAGAAGGTAAAAAAAATATCAGATGGATGTTGAAATCTCGAATAAAGCAGGTAAGGGGCAATATGAAAACCACCTATCCTTCTTTTTCAATAATTCAGAAGTGAAAAAATAATTAGATAGATTACACGATCAATATGCACTAGCTCCAGTTGACAAAGCAGGTAATAACATTGTCCTTGTTTGTAAGGCTCATTATTTTATTTATATTATAGAGGAAGTTAGATTTAATTCTGTAAGTAGTAATTCAACTTATACTCATAGTTCCTTTTCTAAGGAGGAAATTCTTCAAAATCACATGCCTGTTTTAAGGATTTTCAATATTCCCAACAGTCAAATAAAATTTGACTACAACACTTATACTGTACTCCTAAACTGCATAAGAATCCTTACAAAGATACATAGTGCGCTCCAGTGGTGTAAATCAGATGTGGATACTTTAAAACTCCAAGGAACTTTTAGAAAATTGGAAATAACAAAATTTTACCAAAATCAATATCATCAAAATGTACGACGTTGTACAACCATTCCTCACATAATTTAAAGTCCAGGCTTTTTGACATCATAGACAGCTGGGGTTTTTTTATTCCCCCGTATTGAAGTTTCGGGGGTATATAGTTGTCGCCCTGTCCGTCCGTCTGTCTGTTTGTTTGTCCGCAAAAACTTTAACACTGCTCATAACTTTTGATTGGTTGGAGCTATGGCTTTCATATTTCACATGTATATTTCTTGTGACAAAACCTTTCTTCGGGTACCATAACATTTGACCTTTTGTCCTTGGAGTTTGACCCAGTTTTACAAAATTTTACCCAACTTTACCTTGGCCATTGCTTTTGAACAGTTGGTTCCAGGGCTTTCATACTTCACATGTGTATTCCTTGTGATAAGACCTTTTTTAGATACCAACAATTATAGCCCATTGACCTTGACCTTGGAGTTTAACCTACTTTTGGAAAACTTTAACCTTGGCATTTCTTTTGAACAGTTGGTTCTACGGCTTTCATACTTCACATATGTAATCCTTGTGACAAGACCTTACTTTGGATACCAACAACTTTGACCCTTTGACCGTGACTTTGGAGTATGACATACTTTTGAAAAACTTTAACATTGGCTATAACTTTTTAACTGTTGATGCTAGGGCTTTTATTCTTCACATATGTAATCCTTGTGACAAGACCTTCCTTTTGATACCAACAACTTTGACCCTTTGACCTTGACCTTGGAGTTTGACCTACTTTTAGAAAACTTTAACCTTTGTCATAACTTTTGAACAGTTGTTGCTAGGGCTTTCAATCTTCACATGTGTATTCCTTGTGACATGCCTTCCTTTATATACTAACAATTATAGCCCATTGATCTTGACTTTTGAGTTTTACCTACTTTTGGAAAACTTTAAGCTTGGCATTTCGTTTGAACTGTTGGTTCTAGGGCTTTCATACTTCACATATGTAATCCTTGTGACAAGACCTTAGTTTGGATATCAACAACTTTGACCCTTTGACCGAGACTTTGGAGTTTGACCTCCTTTTGAAAAACTTTAACCTTGGCCATATCTTTTAAACGGCTGGTGCTAGGGTTTTCATATTTCACATGTGTATTTCTTGTGAGAAGGCCTTTCCTTGGGCACCATTAATTTTGACCCTTTGACCTTGAAGTTTGACTTACTTCTACATGAGAAGAAGTCTCTTGCTGTGGCATTCAATTCAACACTGAGATATATCGGCAACGTTTCATGAATAAACAATATTCATTTTCACTTCTACGTTGATTCGATATATCCCTTTGAACTCGAAATAAAAGATTCCACAGAGTCTGACACATCTGTTTCATTTATGGATATTTTACTAGAAAAAGACGTTAATAGTAGCATAACAACAAAACTTACGATAAACGTGATGACTTTAACTTTTCTAACGTCAACTTCCCTTATTTATGTAGCAATATACCATAAACACCTGTATATGGAGTTTACATAACAATTCACAGTGCTCAACGGTGATTTAATTATCATAATTAAAGAATTATAGGACAGTCGGGGTAACGACATGGTGCTTTAACAGTAATTAGATAATTATGAAATTGATTTCACTGCAATGTGTATCAGTAACGATTCTCTGATAAAACTAACAGTTCAAGTAGCTTTATCTCATCATTTTCATTCCCAATGACCGTGTAGTGTATAGCAGCGCCTCGAGAATTCCATCACCATCGAAAGCAAGTTTTTAACTTTCCTAGATGACCGAGCAGTCTAGCCCGCTGTTCGTGCACTTCTAGGAGACAGGTTCGAGAGTTAAGCCTCTGGATGGGGTGGAAGTGGGAGTGAGTATCCTTGTAAAACGTTTTCTTTGTGCTCTCTCTCTCTCTCTCTCTCTCTCTCTCTATATATATATATATGTATGTATACTGGTAATCAAGTACTATAGAACATAGAATAAACAGCCCACCTAAGGCCGTAATGACATATGCAATGTAGTTTGGAACTTTTTTTCTTATTCCCTATATATTTGATGAGCTCCAATTAATCAAAGCCCTTTTTGCTACTTTTATTAAGTCTAATGATGCTTTACACCTCTTCCAAAACAATTTTGAGGAAACACCAGCTAAAACTGTATGTCTGAAATTTTTTCTTTGAAAAGCACAAGGACTTTTATCATTTGATATCTAATCAAAACTCCTAGTAATGTATGCTGACGTTTGTCTAAAACGTAACATCTGATGCAATGATGACTTAAAATTTAGAAAATCGTTAGAAATTATCAATATGTAAGGTAAGCTGTCAGGTATGTTGTAAGGGTTTGTTCCCGTTTTGCACACATTTGGTTACCTAAAGTAGTATGAAAAATGGGACTTTGTCCAGTTATGATAATTACTTAATTGCTATAGACTGTATCATAGTTGGGAATAAGGAAAGAAAAGGAAAATAAAACTCAAGAAAAGGTCATTTGTGTTTGATACTTTGATTATTTATAAAGCATAATATTAAACTATATTATAATAAAAGCAGAAGATATCATGAATACTTATCAAATTTGTATTTATAACTCTTTATCTATTATAAATGAAAAAAAAAAAACTGGCTACGTATTTCTAAGCTTCTTCTTTCTTACAATACACTGGTAAAATACAGGTAATTCCAGATAAATCCCATATAGAAAGCAAACTATAATTCTTATTAAAACACATTTCATACATATTGTTCTCTACCAAATTTACGCAAAATAGGAACACACCCATACGTTGAGTCTATTCTTAGAAAGGGTTATTTGTATCGAAAACTTCATTGGATGGACTTCCTTAAAGAGCAGGTATCAGATGTAGAAAACATATCTCTTTGAATATATGTTAAGTCTACCTTCATGACATCCTTTCAAATATATATAAAATGTAATAAACATTGTTACAAACCTTGCCTTTCCAAAGGGCCAGTCATGTTGTTGACCATACATGTGATATTTCGCTCTAAATCTTCCCTCATCTTCAAATTTTTTTCAAATGTATTTTCACTACGGTTCGCTATGATGCGTTGTGTTTCAGAGAGTATTCTTTGATCTTCATTGCGCAGCTCACCCAGTGTAGACTGGATTTTTTCCTGCACGGTTGATAAATCTCTCATTTTATTTTCTGAAATACAATAAAGTTTAAATAAAGATAAAAGGAATTTTACATTTTTCATCGCGAACTATATAACTACTGAGAAAAAACACATCTATAATTATTTTTTTAAATCGCTTTGTAATTTTAAAGTTAAGCATAAGGCTGCCCAATCTTTAAAGTACAAATCCTGCCTCAGTTATTGTGCTGAATTGTACCTCCTTTTTATCGCAGAAAAAAAATCACTACAGCTTTACCTGTATTAACATGACTCTATTCTGATTAAATCGTCTTAATAAATCACTTAAACTTATTTGTTGGAGGGGGGGGGGAGGGTTGGTAGTTGGGGTGGGGTGGAGGGACTCTCAATCGTAAGACAGTCAGTTTCAATATATTTATAAAGAACTCTAGAGCATCTTGAAAAACAACCCTTTTCAAATGGCATTGGAGAATATAATTTGGGCCTTGATTTCATTTGACATGAAATGCGGGTGCTTTAATGCCATGTAAAACACGACACCTAGGTAAAAATTTAAGTTATTTTATATGTAGATGTAGTTTGATTTTCCAAATAGAGAAACGAAGAGGATTGATGTACGAGGGTTGTTAGAAAAGTTCGCGGACATGTTCTATTGTGAGCGCGCTATTCGAATAAAACCAGTAAAACTCTGCAGATAAAAAATATACGTATTTCCCCATAAATATTCAAAGATTTGGTGTTTTCCGATGATACTTAAAAATGTACAGATACACGAGGGCCATTCAAAAAATTCGTAGACAATATCGCTTTATGATTTATGATCAACACATGTTCAAGTGCAAAAACATTCATTTTGTCGTTGTGTGTAGTTTCATTCCATTTGAATAAAAGGAATTTAAGTTATTTAACTTTAAATTCAACATGTTTTGACACCACGGAGCACTCTTAACTACATTGTAACGTCAAAAACAACGTCGTGAAAGTTACAATTACTCTCCCTCGTCATTTCTCACACGGTCTGTAGCGCCTTATTAACTCATTAAAAATGTCTCCATAATAACTGACACACAGTTTGCTAATTCGAGTACGAGGGGTGATCAAAAAGTTCGCGAACTAATTGAATAATTAGGTTTTAGTGCTCATTATTTTTTAAAGTAGTCCTCTCCAATTTAAATGCACATCTGCCACCGTTCTGCCCATGCGCGAATCACGTGACACAGGCGGTCACGTGACATGCTCCGAAGCGTTCCGTTCACAGGGTGTAAAAGATTTTCCCGAGTCTTATATTTCTTACCATGCAAGTTAGTTTTTATAACAAGAACAATCAACTTGTCAAAAATGGCCAAATCTCGGCAATTGGATGGGTGGATAAGGATATCCTTTCCAGGAATGAGCATAGTGACCATCACAACCCGAGTCTTCTGTCTTGGGAGCGACGTTTATCCAATGTGGATATCAGGCATGGCGCTTTCGTTTTATCATATCTGATATGATTTAAGTCTAAATTAAACGATATTTTAGGGATTTAATAACTGTATTATTTTTAAGATATTCAACTATTTTTCTAACTGTAACTTGGCGGTCTTTCATATCAAATTGCTCAGCTGAGGACGCATCTCTTCCCCAGCTTGCTTTCACTGGGCAAGAGAACAAACATAATTTTTAACCATCTCCCTTCTTTCACTAAAACAATCAATCCAATTAATAATTGAACTCCTGGCAAGTCTTTTGTCTTCATAAACTTTGTACAAAGTATTATATGCTACTGCAAAGGAATTTCCAAGATACACATTAAACTTTACAGCCGTTCGTTGCTCGAGTACGACTGGGTCAATCATTTTTTGTCACAAGTAACCTACCTAATGACGTCATTTTCACATTGTGACGTCACAAACATGGAGCAAAACATGAAATAAAAGTGCTATATATAGAACACATGTATGACTATATGTGTGCCAAATTTCATTCTGATCTGAATTGTGGTTTTGAAATTATAGAGATAGTTCGCGAACTTTTTGATCACCCCTCGTAGCATAAGTTAGTTTGTCAGTGTTTTCAAATTCTTTACTTCGTATTTTTTTTTATTTTTATAAGTTCTACAACAATGAAGCCGCATATAACTTTCCATGACGTTACCAAATCTTTTGACCAGATATTTAATGAAAATCAGTTTCCTCACAGACGGCACATTGTCCGATTCAAAGTCTCTATCACTCAAACACTGTCTTTACCATTAATATACAAATGCACGACTCACTTCTGATATATTTCCTGGTTTTTCCGGCATTTTCAGAGTTTGTGAAAGGGTTACCCGTGTGCGAAACAAAATTATACTACTACTCACTGCTTCGTGACGTCCTTTAACGTCACCTTTTATCGCTTTTTTTAAAAGAGGACTTCCTGTCTTCTAAAATTGATTTCTCTCTAAAGAAGAAATGTATTGAATTACAATTAGGTACTTAAGATTATAAAACAAGATTTATTCGAACGTTTTCATTTTATTTTGTTTAAGCGCCATTTGTTGGTGATATAAATATAGACATAATTAAATGTATTGGTAAAGAATTATTCAATTTTGACCGTGCTCCGTAACCCTATTTTTGCAGTTTTAAATTTTAAGTATAATTTGGATATTTATCATGATATAGTTGCATTTTTTAATTCAAATTACTTGGATTTATTGTTAAAGTATGTCTGCCAAAATTGGTTATAATATGGCGTGAAATAAAAATGTTATGACAAAAGTCTACGAACTTTCTGAATAACCTTCATATTATTTAGATAAAACGTGCTTCACGGAGCATGACACTTTTTTGCACGTTCACATTACATTGATTTTTTTTTTTTTGAAATTCAAAAATTGCACTGTTGTAGCGCATTAAGATTTGTTACATTTAAACTGTTACTACAATTTCCATGAAACATCTAATGGCAAAATTTTGAATTAAATTGGAGAGAATTTTGAAGTAGGAAAAAGACATGAAAATTCTATAGAAATGAAAGATATTTAGAGCTTTGAAAAAAAAAAAAAACATTTAACAGGTATGGAGTCAGGTTGTCACGTCACCGAACGTCAAGAGGTTGCTCCGTGAATCTTTGTCATTGTATATATTCAAAATTTTAGTAAATGGACCTGATTTTTTATATACTAAGAAACAAAAGATATGAATTTAATCAGTCACATGTCATTCTTCAAAGTACACAATAAATTTTCCGTGAAACAATGTGTCCGCGAACTTTTCTAACAACCCTCGTAATTATTGATACTGATGTAACAGCTTGTTTCAGAAGCACAAAAATGACCACGAAATATTACATTTACATACCTTGGATACCGTACTTAGCATAGACTTTATCGGTAAAATTACGAAGAAAACCTACAGAATTATTGACGTTGAGTAGGTCATTCTGTACGTTTACTATTCTTTCAGATGTGGCGTTTTGGTTATATTTCATCCTCTGTCCTATTTCACTAAACATTGTTTTATATTCATGCTGCACGTTCCCTATCGTTTCCGATGTTTCGTTTTGGTTAATTTTCATTTTCTGTTCTATCTCACTCAACATTTTATCATACTCATGCTGCACGTTCATTATCCTTTCAGATGTATCGTTGTGGTCATGTTTCATCTTTTCTATTTCATTTAACATTTTTTTATCTTCATGCCGAAGATCATCGGTACTTTTTCTTACTTCTTCTGCGTTGTTTTTCATGGCTGCCATTTCATTTTTCACGTTAATCATGTCGTTGACCAATGAATACACTTGTTTAAGTAATGATAGCCTCATCAATGTTTCTTGGTTTATCTGGTTCTGCAGATTGTTAATGACAATTTCATATTCTGCCTTCTTTTCCGTCAGTGGCGAGTGGGAATCTACTACGGCAAATAATATCCAGAGAAATGCACAGTGTAAAAACATCATTGTTCAAAGCGCGACACTAAATGTTAACAACTGAATTCTTTCAAAGCTGTAAAAAAAAAACTTTAAAGTCCAGGTGCAAAATAAAATGATTGGCATAAGTTGCAGATATTATATGTTTAAAAAATTAAGAGGGACATATTCAAATTGACACTCTGCAAACAGGATTTCCTGCACATTTCAAAGTATTTTAGGTGAATATAGAAGATTAAAAAGTTTTAGAGCTTATCATAACAACTTAGAAGTGTAAAACACTTTGCTTCTTAAGTACTTATATCTTATCTGTTATAGACAGAGTACAATAAGCAAAATTTAACGACTTTGAATCATAACTACTCTATCTTATCTGTATTTTATGGGCAAAATATGCAAACTGTAACGATTTTAGAACGTGTGTGCTTAGCCTGTATTAAATACATGTATAAAGCAATCTGACAGATCTATGGTGGCTCCTTTTCATTTACATAGGCTACCTATCAAATCTGAAATATATTCAACGTTTTAATTTTCATGTATCATTTTGGGAGCGCAGCTTATTTAATTGAACTTTTATAAAAACAGACTCCAAATTGTAAACTTTGAAAACAACTGCTATATTCTTCTTATGAGAAAAGAACAACCTTTAGTGATAGGAGTTTTGGTACCATTGTTCCAAGAATGCGGTACAGTTACCCTTGTACATAACATTTCCAAGATCTCATTATATTTTCTAGACCTTAAAAATTATTTTTTGTGGAGACTTTGATATTTTGTTCTATCTCTACCATGTATATATATGTAAAAAAAAATTACTTGCTGTTCATCACAAGTATTTGATAAAACCATATTCAACTTCAGTTTCAGATTCACTAAGGCAGTGCTTTTGTACAATTCCATATACATAAGAATTATAGTCCGAGATAATCTTAGACTAGTGTGTATACTCCAGCTTTTAAAATATTACCACTAGTAGTTACACTAGAATTTGTACTTTTATTTGACCACTTAAAATCATGTTACATATTACCTACAAGTATTAAGTTTTCCTTTTTAATTAAAAATACACTGTATATTTGTTTTAAGTATTTTTTAATAAATAGTTTTGTACGGCTAGTTCAAGATATTTCTTTCTGTTTGATTGTGATAATCATTACCCAGGTGAGTAATGTAATCAGTTACCTGGACAATAATAAAGTATTCTTTGCAAGAATATGTGTGTGTGTGTGTGTTTTTTTTTTTTTTTTTTTTTTTTTTTTTTGAAAAATAAGACCAAAATTCAACGGCTCAACATTATTTATGTTTTATCTATGTCAAATGCATTTCCTTTCATGACTTATCTAAAACCTCAAAAAATGCTAATGCGTGTTGTGAGAGTATAAAGTATTGCTAAGGATTCTTCATTAGGAAAAACCAAGAGGATTAAGTAGTAATAAACATTGTAGGTCAATTGATATGGCTGGGGAGTACAGATATCATACGTGCAAATCTGTACATGTATATTTGGGGTGAAAGCTGATAGAAAATTGCAGTTTCCTTGATACAAATGAACTCTCTTTCTCTGTTTTCAAAATCATGTTTAAATGAAGAAATAACTTATCTTGCAGTTCTTCTGCTTCAATGAATAAGTCAACATTTAGATTAAGAAATAAAGTTGAACTTCTGTATCTCGAATAACCTATATCTCTAATTCCATGGATTTGTCGAAGTGATTTTAAAATCCCAACCCCTTATTGTTTTTAAGCCTTTTATCCTGGATTTTCGAATCCTTGTTTGCCTCGAATTTTTTCTCGGTCCCATTGAGTTCGAGATAACGAGGTTTGACTGTAGTAACTTAGACTTTTTAATGCTAAAATTCTCGGATGTGTTTCCAGCTGCTACATAGCCACTAGTATCAAACTATCCCCCATCCACGATTCCTGGTAACAGATGGGTGTACAAATTCATATATTTTATTTTTTAAAAAGCAAACAACACAGTTTTTAAACTGAATTTAGGTTTTCCTGTTTTTTTTTATCATGTTAAAATTTAAATTTTACTTGAAACTAAGAGGAATTTTAAATTGAGAGCCAATAACCCATTTTTGTTGTCTCATGCAAGCTGCAAAACCATCAAGTTAGCTGCAAAGACTTTGAAAAAGTCCAGGAATCCATGCCATAACAAGGATGAGGTGATTCTGAGTGACTTTCTGTAATATATATGTGGGACATTGCAAAAGTCAGAATATTGTGATAGTATTATTGTCGTTTATAGTGCTGATGTTGGTTATTTGCAGCAAGATCTAGTTGAATATTAGTTGTATATCAAATAAAAATAGATTTAAAAACAATTTCTTTTCCTTCTGTGCAGAAATACAGGAATCAACCAAAATAAGTGTCAGAAACTTTTACAGAGAAATCTGTGTAAATAATTTTAATTGACTTCTACACAACCCCCTTCAATGTTATTATCCAATCGATTATTTTCATTATATAATCTCGACATTAATAACAAAACACTTTTGAAAATCAGGTTAAATTCATGAAGAAATAATTGTTTGTACATATCCCAAGTACACTACAGGAAGCGGTATCATATGCCAAAAAATAGTTCCTTTTAGAAATATAATTTAGCTTACAAAGGACAATGAATATCTCAATTAAAGATACCAAATTGTTAAATTAGAAAGGTAAATGTAAGATTGTAAATGCAGGACAAAAAATAAAGGTTTTTGTTTGGGACTATATTTTGACTTAACAACTAGCGGTGTGATACCTTATATAGTTCATAAATACTTTCATTGTACATCATCGAGTATTAGGCAGTATATATCTACGGAGCATAAGTGATAACTCCTTATATCTACACATCCAAAAATGCTATTTTTCAATCTGCTCTTTTGTTGGATTTCTATATCCATGTCAGCGATACACTCGCTTTTGACGGACCTGAAATCCGAGAACAACCTAATAACAGTTGTTTGTGCCAACACATCGTTACGGGAAGACATTTACCATCTGAAGCAGCAATTAAGTCAGGAAACTTTAATACGACTGTCACTTGTCCATCAGATGTCTGTGTTTGTTAATGAAATGTTAACAGTGAAAAAAGATATGACCAGCGTTCTGGTAAAGATGGAAGAAATAGAAAAGAGTAATGCTAATATTAAGCTTGAAAATCAAAGAATGCGCTTGGAATTGGACCAACATATAAAAATGAACAATAGTGAAGGTGAAACATTACAAGAAAACATACAGCTACAAAACGATCTTCGCTCAACTGTAGAAGAAATATTTCGTAATTATACTGTTGAATTCAAGACAGGGGAAATTGTCCAGGGTTTGTTTATGGTTATAAGATCCTATTCAATTTCATGGTTTAGTTGATTATTTTAATTAATACTACAGAGTTCAAATATATACTTATTTTAAGTAAATGAGTTTTTGCAATGGCATCAAAATAAGGTAATAGTACAACAAAATTTTACAATAAAATTTACTCGTTTGTCACGTATCAAGAGGTTCTTCATAATTACAGTGAAAAAAAGATATGTCCGAGGCACTAGGCAAAATACAAGAACTGGAAAACAATGTTACTGATCTTCGACGTGAGAATCAGCGATTGCAAGAAGAATTAGACCAGCACATAATGGAAAAGGAGAGGGGTGGTGACACAAAGCTACAAATGATTAAGGAATTGCAGAAAGACGTCATAAATGTGACATCAACTGTTTCCGTAAGTACCGTATACTGAAAAAAGGGATCAATCGGTCAGTTATTATTAAAAAGATTATCTCAAAATTTCCTGCGAATTAGATACATGTATATTTTAAAAAATGAAATATTTAAGACATAACTTGATAAAGATTAAAGTTAAATATTTAAATATTTTATGCTACTAAATTGATACTTTATAATTCTATACTATTAAGAAGAGTTCTATGTACCCTGCCTTTTGCCAATAATTATAATCAAATATTCTTTGATTTTCAATTCATTTTGTTCATGTGTCAACGTTTGACATCTACTTTGTATTTACACTTAATTAGGCGTTGATGCTCGACTACATCCTGCATTTCATGCCCGCCTTTCACGCTCTGTGAGATAGATTGGCTTCTACCAAACTGTTATCTTTGACTTTGAAGTTGTGTGGACACAACAAATTCCTACGATCCACGATCGGGAATTTTCACTGCACCATTAACTGGAACATATGTCTTCTAATGGAATATACTGTCTAATGAAGCATCAGGAATGGACACGACATTAGATTGCTCACAAGGATCCTTAGGATATGGATTTGTCAGCCATGCTGTAAACTATGCAAATGGGGGTAACTTGGTAATAGCGAATCTGACCTCCGGAACGCATGTCTGGGTGAAGAAAGCTGACAGATATGGCAATTACATGCATGAGAGATTTTCGACATTTTCTGGGTATCTTTTGCATGTATCAGGCTAATATGATCTATGTTCTGGTCAACAACATTATAAAGGATAATTAGTATTACGAATTCATTGATAAAATAATGCATTTCTTAGTTTTGTTATTAGATTTGTTCTATATGTATAGTGCGTTGTGGTATACGTGTAGTATTTAAACGAACATCTTCATTGTTTTATAAATATTGCGAGGTTTTAAGGCAACGCCTGAGCTAAGAAAAAGTTCAGAATTTGCAGAAGAGAAGAGGAAGATATTTTTTACCAGGTGGTAAATTTTAGGTGAGGGTGGGACTTAATTTTATAGGTGCGAATGCCTCGAGGGCTAGCAGTCTACCTGAAGTGGCATTTTTTACTTTTTCCTATACACTGGCACATTTAATATTCCTGCAGAAGTTGAACTTTACTTGTATTGGATTAATTTGTAATGTCAATGAGACGATTTTATAATAATTGTAAAATATTGGAAAAGAATTATTCCTATTGTTTTAGATATAATTATGATTTGTGTTGAATGAGTTTCTTTTTTTTTTCTTTTATTTTGGTTGTAGAAGATCAACTTTTTCACCGTAAAGTTTTGCTAAAATAATTTGACATTATTAGAAGACGACAGCCATCTTACAATTATGCATTTATTTTTAATTACAAGGAAATGCATTATTGACCGATGGGAGTTCTTGTGCATTGCGGCGGATTTTAATTCCTGGCTACATAGCGATCTTCATTAGATACCCTAGGATGGGCATTATCCACAACTTGATATATTTGTTTTATAAGGATGAAGTATTTTAAGGGGAACTATACATACATGTAGGGATTCTATGGCCGAAAAAGATGTCTATCATGGTACGTCCTTAACGCCCACATGTTTCGGCGTACTGAATCAGACATTCTATCTCAGAACCATGAAATACGGAGATAACGAACAGTAATCAATCTAAAAATCCATTAAAACAATACAAATTGGTAGCTGAGCAAACATCGACCTCTTAAATCATCAGAGATGAGATCAGGTGTTATGTAGAGTAAGCATCCCTGTCGACGGTCATACAAGCCGTGTACTCCTTGTCCTAATCCGAAGCACAAAATCCGTAAACAATTCGTAAATTGTTAATTGTAAATTCGTAAGTAAACAATGTGTAAATAATGGCCAACAATCTGCAGATTATTGTCAGTCAGCATTCGATTCAGTGAAAGATTGTATTGCCGACAGGGTCATTGAGACTGTTGATATCCTTGTTTTATCATCTTATTTGTCAATAGCTTGCCTTGTTTCAGAAATTGTTCATACTTAGTACATGCTCTTGCGTATAGAATCAACTGGGAGAAATATACTCTAAATGCAGATGATACGGGTATATTGCTACATAAATAAGGAAAGTTCACGATATAAAAGCAGAAGTCATCAAGTTTATCATATAGTTTTGTTGTTAAGTTACCATTAAAATTTTTCTAATAAAATATCCAAAAATGAAAAAGATGTGTCAGATTCTGCGGTATCTTAAATTTCGAGATCAAAGGGATATCGAATCAACGTATGAATGAAATAAATATTGTTAATTGACAAAACGTCGTCGATATACCTATATGTTGAACTGAAAGCCACAGCAAGAGAACTTTGCTTCATATGAATACAAAAATAGGTCTGCTAATAACGGGGCGCGATTAGTGCACATGGAAATTACGACAGGTTGTTTGAAGACCTGATCTCCCAAAACAAGATAGATATAGTCAATAAGAAACTTTAGAATCTTTTTAATATCAATTTCAGAGTACTTGTGTTTACAATCAAAATGTTTTTAACAAAATAATTTTGCAAATAACCAATGACAAGGTAAGCAAATTTACGAGTTTTATTTTTATTGAAAAAACAGCTGTTTGTGATGTCATGAAGCTTAGACATTAGTTTTTCGTGAGGAATAGCTGTATAAAAAGTTGAAAAGTATTACGTTTTGATGTTATTATTTTAGTGAAAGTAGAGATTTCAAATTTTCTAAAAGTTCCTCTGAGTTTTAAAATATCCACATTTGATTTAAACCACTTCTCGAATATCTTGTACAGTACTCCAGGAGTTTCTCCTTCACTGCTGTCAAAATTTAAGCAAACGTAAAGAAAGAGGCTAGGTAGAACGTTTACGGGAACCAGCTCTGTATCTTTGTAAGATTTGGAATCCAGTATACGTATGATAGTTCAAATTCAATTTGATTGTTGGAAATATCCAAACTGTATAAAATGGACATATGATTTTAAAGAATTTTCACCTTAGAAAGGGAGCTATAGATATGTTGGATTACCACTTGCAGAATTAAATTTCTGCTGCTCTAAAATGCAAACAAAATTTTTAAAACTAGTCGTACAAGCAGAAATATATACACAATTGATTACGATCGTTATTGCCGTTGATAAATTCCTCCTAATTTTTGTCAACATGTCTGGAAGAAAAGCAACGCTTATAAATTGTCAATCTAACAAAATCTAAATTACAAATAATTATTAAAATGATGCCAGTTTCAAACACGGACATGAACAGTTTCGTTTAAAGTCAACATATCACAAATCCAATGGTCACTACAATGACCTTGTCAGCAAATACAATCTATCATTAAGTCGAATGCTGACTGACATTTTTCATACAAATTGTTAGTCAATTGTTTACACACTGAATTGTCTACGGATTTTCCGTTTGCCCGAATATGACAAGAAGCACGCGGTAGGTGTGATCGATCGACAAGGAAAGTTTTTTCCTCCATGGCATCTGATCCCACTTCTGAATGTTTGTTTAGAGGTCCTTGTTTGCTCTGCTCCAAATTTGAATTGTTTCAATGGAGTTTTGAATTGATTACTGTTCGATATCTCCATACTTCATTGTAATGATATCGGCACTTTCAGTTAAGCTTAAAATTGATGTATGTGAAAATTTGGTTTAGACAATCCATGATGATCAATTAAACTTTGAATCCAGATTAACTTTTTAAAAAGAAATTATAATCTACGTTTGACTCATTACGAATAATTAAGTTGTTAGACAAAATGATTTTGCATACTACATGTACTTTAAATTTGTCAAGCCAACATTTACATATCAATACAGTATCTTTGTCGCACTGGTATGTGCGTTAAGCATCAAAAGGCCGAAAGTTAGTTTGATGATCCCTACGAGCCCCAAACAGATACAAGTAGATAGTGGATTAAATTTTGGTTTTTAAATCTGCTTTTTTCAAACTTCGTTATGGAAATACAACCAACATTCTACGTCATATGACATCACATTCTAGAACTTTTCAAACGTCTCGTGCGGTTGGATGCGAGATTTAAGTTAAAAATGAATAGGTATCCACTATGACACAACTGCACTCGCCCTAAAGTTTGCATCATCATTATTATTATTACTGATGTTTGATGTTTTTAATTAAGATATAGGAGGGACCTCTACACAAGTATTGTATAAATTAATGAAGTTATGATGCAAAAAAGCAAACAGTACGGACTGAATTTATTTTTAACATTTAAAACTTCTCATTAAAATGGAAAAAGTGTTTTAAAGCTAGTCTCCTATATAACAAATTTGAAAAGACGAACACACACATACCACCTTAAATCATAAGTTTTAAGTGTTTGAAGATCTACAGATACATTTTCGTAGTAGGTAATTAAGATACAAGGACGTTTTATAGTTTTTAAGTTGTTTTTGATGATTTCTGAAATGAGTTTTATCTTAACACTTAAACATTTTGGTTGCATGAGAAGAAAATCTTTAATAAGAAGTATCTAAGTTCCATGGTTTGTTTACAAGTATTTGCAACTTCTACTAATAATTTAATTTTGCTGACAGGACTTCAAAAATACATCATGAATTAGATTTTAGCATTTTCAGAATACATCTTCTACCATTAAGGTAGTCTAACTAATCCTCAGGTTCTGAAAATCGTCAGTTAAGTAATTGAAATGTTCACAAAAATGTCACTGAATTCACAAAGTAAAGTGTATATTCTACGCATGGTATTTTATAAAGATCATATCATATAATTTTTTACAAGACCGTTTCTAAGACTTCAAATAACCTCGATTAATATTGAGATGTATGAAATGAAAACTGTTGCACGAAGTATTACAATTTCATACTTCATTTTGATACTTGTTAAAATTAAATAATAGTTTTAAGAGTCATAGTTCCTGGCTGAGGAGCGGACATTCTTAAAGATATGAAGAACCAGTTTATCCAGGCTGTCATGTATGAAACTATCGTTATCACTGGCCAATTATTTTATCAAGAAGAAAAAATGAATAATTAGATATCATGAAAACAACACAGAAGAAATAAGGAAAAGTAACAATAATCTTTAAGTTTGCATGATCATAGAAAAAAAATTAAATATCATCTAATGATGTTGAGATGTCCTAAACGAATGAAGGATTGTACACACAATTATTCTGAAGTGGATACTATAACGAAGCTTGAGTTTCTGATTGACAATATCCAATCAGTTGGAATTCCCATGGGTACCATTTTTGTATTCATATGAAACAGAATTTGTTCAAAAAACTTCTACATGAGAAGAAAACGCTTGCTATGGCCTTCAACTCGGCATTCAGATATATCGACGACGTATTACCAATTAACAATAGTTACTTCCATTCATATGTCGATTCGATGTATCCCAGTGAACTTGAAATAAAAGACACCACAAATTCTGACACATCTGTTTCATATTTGGATATTTTACTAGAAAAAGGCGCTAATGGTAACCTAACAACAAAACTTTATGATAAACATGATAACTTTAACTTTTCTATCGTCAACTCCCCTTACTTATGTAGCAATATACCCTTATCACCTGCATATGGGGTTAACATCTCCCAGTTGATTTAAATACGCAAGAGCATGCTCTACGTGCGTTCAATTTTTAAAACAAGGTAAGCTATTAACCAAACAAGTTGATGAAACAAGGATATCAACAGTCTCGTTCAATGTAATCATTTTGCAAGTTCTATGGTCGATACAATGACCTTATCAGCAAATACAATCTATAATTAGGTCAAATGCTTACTGACGTTTCTCATACTAATTGTTAGGCCATTATGCACACACAGAAATTTCTACGGATTTTTACCTTTACCGGATCATGGCAAGGAGCACATGGCGAGTGTGACCGGTCGACAGGAGATGCTTATTTCTCCATGGCACCTGATCCCACCTCAGATGTTTTTGGACGTCCGTGTTTGCTCCGCCCCCCGATTTGTATTGTTTAAATGGACAAAGGGCTTGAATACTGTTCGTTATCTCCATATTTCATTCTTCTCCTACGATAAAAACAAATTTTCATGAAAACTGTTTCTTCCCTAAGGATTGCGATTTCCTATGACTTACCTTGTAACCAAACGCATATCGTCTCTGATTTCAAACCATTTTGTTCTCTTTAAGTTGTGTTATTTAAAAGTAATTGTTAAAAAAACTAAATGGTACACATAGATACATATCACATTTATTTATACAGCACATTTTTAAGAATTTTAAACTGTTTTTCATGAAACTCAGTCTTGTTTCCTTAGAGCACCAAAAAATTATGTTCTCAAAAATATACGTTTTTATTCTTTTTACCGTAAGAAAATGCGTTATTATTTTCCTCAATTACTAGAATATATATGTAACCAATTTCGATCTATACCAATTAGCTGAAAGTAGAGCTCACTTATGTTTTCATGCGACGTTGAAATACTTATAATCAAATATTCTATGGTAATCCAATCGGTTCTAAAATACTTGCACTAATCTTTTAACAATAAAATATTATATATATATATATATATATATATATATATATATATATATATATATATATATATATATATATATATATATATATATATATATATATATATATATATATATATATATATATATATATATATATATATATATATATATATTCCTTTTTCTTAGAACTAATTGTGTGTAAGAGACATGATTTCCCGCTCACTGAAATTATGAAATTATCGAGTGTAGCAATAAATATACATTTTTGTTAAAATATAGGTTCCATAATCAGTGCTAGTTAGTAACCGCTTTTTCTCAAACTCGAGATCCTTAACTTTTTTTTAAATGTTCAAGAGACACGAATGTCTCTTGGAGATTACAAAAAGGATGGATAGTTTGATAAAAAAAAAAAAAACGCCCTAGGTGTTTTATGACATATTCAGGGTGTTTATAACACGAAAAAGAACAACTGAGTGTGAGTGATGAAACACAGTTAATATTGGGAGAATAATCTTTGTAAGTGTACTCATAATGAATTATGGGTATTTTATTTTCATGTGTATTGCTTGTTGACTTATATGACATGGCAGCAGGAGTCTAGTTTATTTGATTTATCCACTTATCTACCTACCTGTGATGTCATAGGTTTTTGCAAAAATATTAATTTCATATCTAGTAGAAATATCTCTTTTGGAGGAATGCATTTCTACGGAAGCCCATTGAGTCCTGTTCAGAGAAAGAAATATATTCTATTACGTTTAAACGCAATGATAATTGCGTTTGAACACAACATATTGCGTTTAATCGCAATAATCATTGCGCTTAAACTCAAAACACTTTGCGTATAATCCAAAAGGATTGCGATAAAACGCAATCATTTGCGTTTAAATGCAACAATTTTGCGATTAAACACAATTCTTTTTGCGTTTAAACGCAATAATACTTTTGCGCTTAAATGCAATAGTTTTTGCGTTTAAACGCAATAATATTGCGATAAAACGCAATAATATTGTGATTGGACGTAATGATATTGCGATTAAACGCACTAATTTTTGCGTTAAAACGTAATCATTTTTGCGTTTGAAAACAATTTTTATGCGATTTGAGGCAATAATCTTTGCGTTTAAACGCAATAATCATTCCTTTTAAAGATTCGTTTTACATTTAAACACTACGAATCCCCTTTGAGGCCAATTCAGAGAAAGAAATATTTTTATTGCGTTTAAACGCAATAATTAATGCGTTTAAACGCAAAACATTGCGTTTGTATCGCAATAATCAGTGCGTTTGAACGCAAAAGATTGTGTTTAATTGCAAATGATTGCGATTAAACGCAATCTTTTGCGTTTAAACGTAATACACACTGCAATTAAATGCAATGTTTTGCGTTTAAACGTAATAAAAAATATTTCTTTCTCTGAACTGGCCTCAGCGGGCTTCTGTACTTTTCAATAGGTGTAATAAAAAATATTGTTTAGTAAAAGAATTGAAATATTAAAAATTTTCTTTATTTAATTAATGATAAAATCATTAAAAATGTTGCTAAGGACAATTACTCCTCCACATATCTTGATTCAGGCATTTTCTTTGTTGTACTTCTAATGTAAAATGGTTCCCTGAAATTCACAATGCAAGCATATCTATAGAGTAACAATTTGAATAAGTTTTTACATTATTTTTAAAATACTGTTTACAAAAAATGTACAATTTTTTATGCTGAAATATACTTCTGTTTTAAAAAATATGGTAACCTATAGATTTCTTCGATTATCTAACAGTTCATTATTTATTTCTTTAGAATTTTCATGAACTGAAAAAGAATGATGATTTATTTTCTTCGTGTGACCTAAACGGACAAGTTTATGAATCTACTGGGCATTCGTATACATATTGCTATGTATGAACATAAATTGCCAAATAGGTCACAGCGATCTAGATTATGTAGTCCAACGTAATCTATGAATGCTAAATGACAGTTTAAGATTGTAGTATCATTGTTGTATATACCTCAGCTATTTATTTTGTAAGAGGGTTAATCCAAAAGTTATGTCACAACTACTTTAAAATCTTTAATAATACAATTTGACAAAATAAAACCCTTATCTATTTTGATTTTTGCCTTAAAACTTTATTCGATTATATAAAATACTTTTTAAAATATTGATATAAGTATGTCGTTAGGTTTTGTGTTTCGCCGCACGTTACCGACGTCGACATATCGCTACTTTTCGGAACATATTTTTAAACTCTTGTGTGCTTCTTTTAATAATCGTGATTGCCATTTTGCTTTAAACGCCTTGTTTTGAGTTGAAGCATTAAAATTATTTCAACTTTGCCCGAATGTTATTTCTAACTTCATTCCTTTTTGTGTAAATCTTATGTATCATCAGATTCAAAATGAGTGTCTAAGAGAAACGTCGTAATGATATCGATACATTCTTGTCGTGCGGCGATAGACGAGACCAAGGTTGTGTTTATTCAAATATTATATAAAGTATGCCATATATCTGAATAGAATTTTAGAGCAAAAGTCAAAATAGATAGAGGTATTAATGTGTAAAGTTTTGTTGAAAACTGTCGATTATTGAAGTTTTTATAGCAGTTGTGATAATACTTTTTGATGAACCCTCGTTCTTATTTCTTATTTTTGCAATTACGCAACTGCGTTAAAATGTCAAGCTGGAAAATGCAATAAAGCATAATGTCAATCTGCAAATTGGAAAGAAATATGCTTAGGAGGTTTTTTGCATGAACACAATCCCAGATAAATTTCAAACCTGTAAACCTGTAAAAACATAGCTTATATAAAGGGGGAGAAGTATCAAGGAAGATAAATTGTTTCTGTAGCAAATCATGGGGTTCTCTCGGTTTATTACCGCCCTATTGATAACAGTTGCCAACGCACATATACTCGAAACCCCTATTTTATCACCAAATCGACGACAGCATACATCACCTGGAAAGGTATTAGGCACCTAAGAAGAACATTTCCTTGAAGAGGGAAGATATTATCATCAGAAGCTGCAACTTGTACAAAGCGTTGAACAACTTATAGCTGATGTTCGCACACTGACAACTGAAGTACTAAGACTGAACAAAGAAAATGTAAATCTGCAGACGAATTTTGGAAATCTCTCCAGAGAAAGTAATTATATCTATTCATTTGATTTTTACTATTTTGCAAAGTTCAGTTTATTTCATTTCTTAAGATGGTTTCTTTTTTTCTATTTTCTTAATAGCAATTCTTAACTTATCAGCAATTCTTCAGTCTCATTTTTAATTCAAATCAGTTATTATTTAAAAAAAATGGTATCTAATTAATATTTACTTGACCTTTTTAAGTTGGATTCTGAAAATGGTGAACATGTATAGATACAAATAATGCATATGGATCATCTGGATCAGGAGTATTTACAGGTCGTAAAACCTGCTACTGTACTACACCTAACAAACGAAATGAACTGTTCCATGCAAGAAGCGTACTGTATCGTTCACGCAAAGAACCGTACCAAAAACAAATTCAAACGATGGAATATAACTCAGAAAAATGAATCTTGTAATTGCTTACCTTAATTGCAACAGCAAATCCTCCATAACAACAATACAGAAAGTTAGTTTTTGCACATGTGCTCCAACAGTTGTTAAAGATTATTTAAATATCATCATAAAATTGCGAGTTAGCAAACTAAACAATGTAATATTATAGTGTGAAATAAGCCCATAGCAACAACTTTCAGCAAACAATTAACAACTAGTATTAGAGATTAGTATCTCTTTCGTACGAATTAGCAAAAAATATTTTCAACTGGCAGCAATACGCTTCCGTAAAACATCACTTTTATTTAGCAAATTGCAATTTAAGAGATCTCAAAAAATACTGTACAAAAATGTTTACTCAACTACGACATCAATTTAAAAAATTCCAATTGTTTTTTATTCATTTTTATGAAAAGTAAAATACATATATACATATGTATGTTTATATGTCTCATTTCAGTTTGTGGAAAATCGCAATGTCTTGGTCAGAAAACACACGGTGCTTTCTATGTGTACTATTCCACCAATTTCAAGTCTTTTGCTAAGGGGCAAACATTCATCTTCGATACTGTTCTGACAAATGTTGGGAATGGATATAATGAAAGAACTGGAATATTCATCGCCCCAACTTCCGGTGTCTATGCGTTTTCTTGGACATTGCACGCAGCTGGGGTACACATGTCTGGGGAATCTGGACAATATGGCGAAATGGGAGCAGTATTAAAACAAAATAGTATAATAAGAGGCTCCATTGTTGCGGATACTGAGAGAGAGTATAATGAAGATGCTGCTACCGGATTTGTAATTTTGAATCTCGCAGCTGGAGACGAAGTAAAGATTGTTTCTAAGTTTGATGGTCAAGGGTCCATGTACAGTAGCGATCAAATGGGCCGAACAACATTTTCTGGATTTCTGATCCATCCATAATTCCTGAGACTTCGGAAGTAAAACTGAAATGTTCACGGAAATGATATGATGGAGAACTGATCTGCCGATTTGTACGCAACCATCTTTATTAGCTACATGACATTATGAATATCCTAACAAAAAATACTATAGTTGACTATAGTTAACTATAGTGATAACTTTGACACTATGAAAACTTTGATTTACTATAGTGATAACTTTGACACTTTGATTTATTAAAGTGATAACTTTGATTTACTATAGTGATCACTATGAGAACTTTGATATACTATGGTGAAAACTATGACACTATAGTGATCACTTTGAAAACTTTGACTTACTTATTGATGACTTTGACACTATAATGATCACTTTAAAAACTTTGATTTACTAAAGTGATAACTTTGACACTTGATTTACTATAGTTAACTATAGATAACTATAGTAAACTAAAGTTAACTTCAGTATTTTGTGTTAGTGTAACCTGTTCTCATGCATTGTACTAGTGTACAGTACTACCTTTTTGGCGCTAGTTTATACCAACTCCATGACGTGCATTTGAAAACTTTGCTGACGTAATTTTCAAATGCCATGTGTTTATATCTATCATAGAAAAGATGCCTTAATAAAGTTAATTTAAGTGAGAGATTTTTTTTATTATTTCTAAGCAATGATGAAATAATTTTATAGAAACATTAATATGAATACTTCTATTAAATCAAAGAAAATACAACTGATATCGTCAGTAATTTTTACAGATTTTAGGGGATATTCTTAGTCTGAGTGCGCCTCGCTACCCCTAATGTCTGTCATTTGTATTCCTTTTTCTTTATCCTTTTTTGCAATTTACCGGGTGTGGTAAATAAAAAAAATGTAATTTCGCTTTTATTGCCACCCGGTAAATTGAAAAAAAGGTACAACACGGCATTCTAGACATACGGAGTATATAAACTAGTAGTCTGTGGCACAACTGCCTGCGCAGTACATCTTGCTTGAAATTGAGTCTTTCATTAAGAAAAGCTGAGAACAATAAGAAAGAACTAGAATGTTCAAAGTATTAAATTAAAATCCAACACCGTCATCATGGTTTAAAGGAAATCAAAATTCTTAAATAACATTTTCAGCATAAAACAGGGGTATAATGAATAGATATCAGGATCTTAAAATAGCCCAAATGGCTAACAAATTAAATGTAGAAAGTCCAATTCTTGAAAAAAAAAAGTGCGCATTGCATTTATGGTGCTATTCGAAAATAACATATTTTATATTAAAGAGAATTTAAAACAGATTTAAAATTTCATTTTTATGATGCTTGCTGTTGGAATATAGGATCTTCGGATCCAGTGTTTTGTGATTGGATGCTTTTTTTAAAAAATCCTTTTTGTGCTAGACGAATGGACAGAAAGCACTCAATGATTTGCGATGAGTTGCATAGAAATTAGATGCAAAGCATTACACATTCTTATTCACACATATAGTTGCTACTACATGTACTACACGTGTTGGACAATTCATGTTTATCTAATATGAGTGCTTGTTTATCAGAATAGGTACATGGATTTCTGCAAACTGAACTGAATTCAAACGCTTTTTCCAGCAGAATAGTAGGAATAGAGAATTTAATTCGAAATTAATTTTATAGTTGTACAAGTTAATATACAAGTACAACACAGGATTGAATTCTTAATAGATAAATCAACAGTAAATACAAATACATGTATCTTTTAACAAAGAAAAAAAACTCTTTGTGTTAAATTTGCTATCAAAGATTTTTAAAGATATTTTTTTAAAAAGAAGAATGCATTATAATTAAGTAATCATAAGTATTTAAATACCGACATACTGTCCAGCTTTTTTCCTTGAAAAAAACCTGTTTGCAGTTCTAAGTTTGACATCAAAAATATTCCACGCATTTTAATTAAAAATGAGATAAGATACATTATTTCCCTGTGTCATTACTCAGTTGAAAGTTATATATTAAGGAGCTCTTGTATCTGCACGTGTAGATCAGAGACAACAACATACTAAAGCTTAAACCCACACAAATCAAGGATTCAAACATTATGACCCGGGCACTATTATTATTCTAAATATATAAAAGCGGCTGAACATGCTGGCAGAGAATAAAAATCATATCAAAACCTTTGAGAAAAACATATGAAGTAATCTAAAAATAAAAAGAAGTCTAACAAAATTGCTTAAGGGAAATGCTCAGTCTTATATAATTTTTAAAATTTTAAATGCATAATTGTCAAAACCGAAAATGTATCACTTTTAAGAAACTTTCCATCACTTGAAACTTGATTAGTGATCTCTGTAGTTGAAATTGGCAGTTGTACGAATATTAACGTCGTCTCCAAATTTTAGTACCAGAGGAATTGTATTTGCACAGTTTGCAAGGCCAGGATTTAGTTCATTATAACAATTCGCTAAAACCTTTTTCTGTCTCTTAACCAAGAGCTCTGCATTAAATATCTTACGAGCTGCAATACAAGCTGTCCACGAAAACGCATAAAGACCACCAGAGGGGGCTGTAAAGAAACCATTCCGTGGATTGTAAGCATTGCCAGTTTGATATAACACTGTGTCGTATAAACATTGACCGGCGTGTTGCAAATTTAACCTTGTGCTGATTACTGCGTTGAATACAAAAGCTCTTTCATCTGCAAAAGAGGCACGTCCTAAGGCTTAGTAATTACCATTTATGAAGATTAAATAAAAGTAACAATATTACTACAAAGTTAGAACCATTCGTAATAAAAAAAATATGGCAATTAGATTTTTCTGAATAAAGAGTAAAAAAAATTATTGTTTTATGAAGCAAGAACCATTGTTTTAAATTTAGTGTTCAATAACTCAAAATCATTAATTTATTCTTAACTGAGATTCAATGTATTACTGTAATTATTTGTTGTAAACACATGCTGGTAATTTTCAAAAGAGAAATTACAATTTATATTGAGGTAAACTTTTAAGCTTTTATTATTATGATAACCCGTAAAACAAACGTGTATTTCTCCCACTACAAACAGCGTCCACAGTTGAACTCAAATTACGGAGATCTTGCTGTATCCTTTCAATTTGTGATGACGTCTCATCAGTAACATTCATCTCCAAACGCTGGTCTAGTTCCTGGTGCAATCTTTGATTTGCACTTTGAAGAATATCCTCTTTCTTTTCCATTTCCTGTACTCTAGCTTCCATTTTCGCTATATGTTTTTTCTTTGTTATCATATCATCCACCAAGGAATACATTTGTTATGTAAATGATAACCTTATTACAGTTTCTTGATTCAACTGTTGTCTCAAATTACTCATTTCTGACTGGTTTGCACAAACAACCATCAATAGAATTTCAGATTTCTGATCTGTTGTTAGCGACACCGATATTGTTGTGGCAACTTATGTGCTGAACTACACTTGGTGCAATGGTGCCATTTTGAAAATCGAAATCAACAAAGATCAGACTCATACACAGGGTTCTCCATTAGCTGTTTTACTTTGTCGGCCCCGACACAGTAAAATTTTCCCCGACACAGTAACGACTCAAATTTTATGTGTGCGACACAGTAAAAAAATTGCGACACAATAAGATCCGTGATAATCAGAATATCAGAACATGAATCTCTCTAACTGAAGCTTTGATCAATCAAATCTACCTTCTTTCAATTTTTAAGGCAGAGCACTTAATTATCTCTAAATTAGGGAACTTTGTCTTCCTTCACCTTGCATAATCAATTAATTCCTAGACCTTCGCTGGACTTAACGCATGAAGGAACAAAGATAAATAATTTTTCACACTTTTATGTATCTGTATAATTACTAGTTGCATTTTTAAATATTATTTAAAAATTAAAAATGTATTATAAATATATATCTTTTTACTTCAGAACCACGTCTCTAGAATTATGCTGGCACTGTGAGTCAAATATCGTACCGTAATCATTTCATTGATGTAAATGTATTGTTTAAGAATTTAAAGGCACCCCCTAAAAGTATTTTACTATTCTAAAGTCTCTTTTTTTAAAAATTCGATAATTCGATCAACTGACAAAAATCACGGCAATATTACTTTTAAAGTGGGGAAGTAGATCGATTTTATCGACCGGAATTTCCTCAGCTCTTCAGAGCATGTGTAAAATATGAAGTTAAGTACACATTGTATATACAAAAATATCAAGGTTTAATATACACGTACAACTTGTAGACAGTAATACAAGTATATCATTTAAGGTTTTTTTTAATATCGAGCTTATTTTTTAAGTTGTGTGTTGAGGGGGGGGGGGGGGTTCAGTTGGTTTGTCTTATAGTACATTGTATGTACATTATTATATGGAAAAATTCTAATTGTTTCAAATATCCATTCAATTTTATTTTTATTAATATGCACGACGTACCATTTGTACAACGAGTTGGTGATTCAAAAAAGTGTGTGTGTGTGTGTGTGTGTGTGTGTGTGTGTGTGTGTTTGTAAGTAAAATGAATAGTGGTTCGTTTGCGAATTCGATCGCGAAAATGCCGCGAATATTAGGGGTTAACGTAAAGTCTGAATATCCTTCCTTCCATAGGTCATCAGTTTTAATATGGAGAGTACAAATATTGTATGGTAATTATATAAACAGTAAATAATTTTATGTACTAAATAAGGACGTGTTTGTTATTAAAAAAAAATTAAAATCTATTTTCTGTAATGGTTTGAACTTTTATATCCTTGGTATGGCATACTTAGTCTCAAAATTTCTCCAAAGTCTATGATAAAGTCTTTGATACCCTTAACTCAAATCAGAAAAAAAATGACTGCTATATGTCATGGTTACCATGACAATATGTCCTAAAAGTAGAAAAATGGCATTTTATCATGTCCAGAGTCGCATCAAAAAACGTTTGAAGCAATGCAGACAAGTGGCAATGACCGTTTCCAAAAGTTGAAGACATGATAAGTATACTAGGGTTATTCAAGTTCATTCAAGTTCGTGGACATTTGTCATAACATTTTTATTTAACGTAAAATTATAACCAAATTTAGTAGACATATTTAACAATATATCAAAGTAATTTGGATTTTAAAAAACTATATCATGATAAATATCTTAATTATTTAAAATAAAAAGCTGCAAAACTAGGGTTACGGAGCACGGTCAAAATTGAGTAATTCTCTAAGTTACAGTTAATTACGTGCTTTAACGAAATAAAATTTAAACGTTCAAATATACCATTGTTTTATTATCTTAAGTCCCAAATTGTAGTGTAATAAATTGTTTTGTTAGATAGAAATCAAATTTAGAAGACAGGTAGTCCCCCTTGAAAAAAAAAAAGTGACGTTAAAGGACGTCACGGAGCAGCGAGTAGCGATATAATTTTGTTTCAAATTCGGGAAACTTCTAAACAAACTCTGAAAATGCTGAAGAAACCAGGAATTTTATCAGAAGTGAGTCGTGCATTGTATATTTATGGTAAAGACAGTGTTTGAGAGGTAGAGACTTTGAATCGGACGATGTACAATCTGTGAGGAAACATATTTTCATGAAAAAATCGGGTCAAAAGACTTACTAATGTCATGGAAAGTGATATAAGGCTTCATTGTTGTGGAACTTATAAAAGCAGACTTTACGCAAAGAATTAATTAACACTGACAAAATTACTTATGCTATTCAAACAATTATATGCAAACTATATGTCAAGTATTATGGAGACCTTTTTAATGAGTTATAAAGGAGCAAAAATCCGTGTGAGAAATGACTAGGAGGAGTAATTGTGAGTAAGTTTTACGACGTTGTTTTTGACGTCACTATGTATTTGAGAGTGCTAATGGTGACAGAACACGCTGATTTTAAAACTTAAGTAACACGAGTTCTATTTAATCAAATGGAATGAAACTTCACACAACAACAGAATAAATGTCTGTGCACTTGAAAATGTGTTGATCATAAATCTTGTAAAAATAATCATGAAAAGCGATATTGTATTATACGTGTATTTGGGAAATATGCTATTACATATGGAAATTCAAACGTGATCAAACGTAATCATCATTTTTATAAATCATACACTCAAAATATAAGAAATTATAGTTTCAAATGCAACCAGTTAATAGAGAAAAATATTAAAAGGAAGAAATGTGATATCTCTTATTGTTTGTCAATTGTTGCCATGGTTTTAATACCGCAAAGGGGTTTCAACTTTATATTTTTAATGTTTTGAGCCCGCAAACTCACGATTTCCAGGACAAAGGCAAATACTTGGTAAAATGCGAATCATGAACCAACTGTAAACTAGCATTTTCCATTGCCGGAAGTGATTTTTGGTTCTGGAATAATTGGAATTCGTTTAAGTTTGCTGGAATGCAAGCCATTGCATTTTAGACACTGTGTAAAGAATTGCAAGGATATTTATTTAAAATCCCTTAAAAACTAAATCAGCAGTATTCTAAAATTCAAAGATTCCAACAAAAAATGTATAACGTGATTTTTTTAGCGACCAGCTTCTTTTTTGGCATTATTAGAGATGGTTTTGGTAACACCAATAGGTATCTTATAATCCAATCACATATTTTAAAATAAATTAATATCTCTTAAATCGCTAAATATTAATTATTCTAATGTTAATGTTACATTTTGAGGATAAATAGCTAAACATGCCGGTCGTTAAAAAAAAAAACTTTTAATACATGAAACCAATTCAAATAAAGTTTAGTGCATAATCAATAACGCAGTACTTATAAAACTTTCAAGTCTTTAAAAATTGACATATGTTCTCTATGAATATGCTTATGTTATTTAAATTTGTGCGTATGTCGACTTTGATCCAAGTTTTAACAATTACAGTATTTGCACAACTATAGGATAATCCTCCAAAAGATTACCAGATGGTCTGCATCAAATGTCGTAGGAGCTGCAACCAATCAACGTCAATTAAAGAAAAATTCCAGAAGAAAAGTTGTAGAGTTCTCATTTTTAATATCAATTAGATTTTTTTAAAAAAAGTGTTGCTGAATAATGAATTGATTTTTAAACACTCATTTTACCACAGACTGGTAAAGGGATCGAGAATTTAATAAAAATATTTACTATATATTAAATATTAACAGAGGTATTGAGTGCTAAATTAGTAGGTCTTGAATTAATGTTCGTATCTTTTATTAAAGAAAAAAAAATATTTATATACCATTGTTTTGCTATGAAGTTGAAAAATGTACAGCCATGCATTATAATTTGCTTAATATAAGCTGTAAAGCATAAAAGATTGCAATTTTGAATTGTGATAAAAAATCAAAACATTTCCATTCAACACAATGTCTTAAAAGTGTCATTAGACATGGTGATCACAGTTGAATTCGCATATTAAGGATCTGTATCAGTATAATTTTTAACGATTTTCAAACAGCACAGCAGTTTATATATGTTTATATCCTGTTCTAGATCTCTGTAGATTTAACTTGCCAGTTTAAGGTACGTCTTCCAGACTTGAATTACTTAGATCCCCTTTAGTACCTTTATTATTTGAGTAGACGACGCGTCACCAGCATCATCAGCATACTTAATTATCAGATACTGATTCAATGTACTTTCATTCTAACGCTTTCCCTTTCCACTTCCTGAAGGTCTATTTCAGTTTTCATCATTGCTATTTCTTAGTACTTTTATCATAAACATGTTTCACAAGCAACAATCCTTTTACAGTTTCTTGATTTTATCAACTCATCTCTCAGACTTTTGTTGCAGGGGGAATCATATCAGAATAGAAGTATGTTGTAGAAGACTGAGAAGCTGTTGTAGATAGCAGTTTTAAGAAACAAAACTGACACAGAAAAGAGCGAATTTTCGAAAAATACATTTTAAATGGTTGCTTAAGATGCAGTTCTCAAGAAGCATGTTTGTTTTAATCATAAAGGCACGTTTGTCGTCTGGTATAAAGACAGTAATCTGAGGTGTAGAGATATACATATATAATATGCATGCAATGAATGATATTGATGTATAAAGCGTGTTTTGTATACAGAAGTTAAATACATAATTAGATAATTTCTGAAGGTTATACCATCACAATATAAACAAGATGTGTCTGTGAAACACTGATGCCCTTTATCGCAGCTTAAGGTCAAGGTTAATGTTTTTCAAATATAGGTCAAACTCCAAGATCAAGAGTTCCAAAGTTTTGGTACCCTAGGAAAGGTCTTGTTACAAGGGATAAATGTGTGAAATATGAAATCCTTAGTCTTATCATACAGAAAATAAGGACAAGGTTAAAGTTTTTAAAAAAGTAGGTAGTGCTCCAAAGTCAAGGTCATGCGGTCAAAAAATGTTGGTACCAAAGGAGAGGTCTTGTCAAGAGAAATACATAAGTGAAATATGAATGCCTTATCACCAACACTTCAAAAGTTATAGGCAATGTTAAATCTTTCACAAATGTAGGACAAACTCAACAAAAATTGCCTTTCAGTTGCAATCTTTGCATATTTTAACTATAAGTATAAAGTAGATATAATGAGACGAGATAAATATTGTCAGTCAGGAAGAAATTATTTTCAATAGAAATCATGTTGAGATAAATGTACCAACGAATATTAATTAACATTAACACTCAGCAACACAATGAATTTTTTGTGTAAGAAAAATCAGAAAAGTAGAAAAAAAAGCATACAAAATGAAGGCCTCTCCTATACCATTTATATCCATGGTCATCACTATGTGACCTTGATCTTTGAGATATGACCTTGAGTCCAGATCATGACACAATAGTTATCAGAAAAAATCTTACCGAATTAAAGTGGCATAGTCTGATACCCGAGAACATTTTCACCTGAAATGCTCAGTCAGCAAAATCTTATTCATCCAATGCAAAACATGCTTAAATTCAACGTCATTAAATTGTGAAAACATATTATGTGTTGGTTTTACCAAACTTTCCACCCTTTGAAGCTTGACGAATGATCTCCATGGGCATAATTTGCAGTAGTTGTACGTATATTAACTTCGTCTCTAAATTCTATAACAACAGGAATAGTGTTAGCACACTTTTCGTGGCCAGGATTCCCTTTCTTTGTTACAGTTTCCTAAGCCCTAAGCCTTTCTTTGACCGTTTACCAAAAGTTCTGTATCAAATATCTTATTAGCTGCACTAAAGTTGTCCACGAAAATATATAAAGAGCACCAGAGGGCGCTGTAAAGAAACCAATCTGTGGATTATACACGTTCCCAATTTGATACAAACTGTGTCATACACAACATTGATTGGAGAGTTACGTTGCAGATGCAACACTTTTCGGATGGCTGCATTGAATACGACTGCTCTTTTATCTGCAAAACAGACCCAGAATAACGTTTCTTGGTAACCATTGACGGATCAAAAACGGTTCCAAACACTAAATAAACATGATAAAGATAATATTTCCGAATGCTACGCTTGCAATGTTAAGAATCATACATAATTTTAAAGTGGTAATCACAATTTTCTGAATGAAAAATAAAGAAAAAACAATTAACAATTGATGTTTGTTTTTAACGTCAATTCGAGATTTTTTCACTCATATTGAGACGCCACCACTTGCCGGTGGAGGGCTGCAAATTTAGACCTGTACTCGACACTTACACTTTGAGCAATGAGGAATTTTTTTCGTGCTAGCACCTACTGTGGCACGGGACCTCGGTTTATACGGTCTCATTAGAAGGACCGGTCTCCACGTCTGGTAGTGGGATTCGAACCCGCGACGTAAAGACCACATCCTTACTCCTCGACTCTGGAGCAAACGCTTTACCAAAGCGCAAAGCGGGTCATAACCGATGAAACAAGCATTCTGAGAGTATTGCATTAGCAATACTAGTCCCCTACCAGCAAGTGTAATCTGGATCCCGTTAAAAATTGAAAATGCCATAATTCCGTCAAAAATCAATGAAGCGGAATGAAATAAAAACTTGATCAATAACTCATCAAGGTAAAGTCACATACCAGAAATCAGCTCAATATCTGCAAGCGTTTAGAAAAAAAGTGCGGAAAACCCTAAAAAATTGAGAAGGTCGTAATTCCGTCAAAAATCATTGAAGCGGAACGAAATGCAAACTTGATCTGTAACTCATCAAGATACACTCACATACCAAAAATCAGCTCAATATCTGCAAGCGTTTAGAAGAAAAGTGCGGAAAACCAAGTGGGACAGACTGACAGACAGACAGAGGGACAGACAGACAGACAGACGGACGGACAGACGGACGGACAGACTCAGAGGAAACCTTAAGTCCCCTCCGGTTTCACCGGTTAGGGACGAACAAAGATTGAACCAATCAATACGCAGCACAGTTAAGGCTGCAGGAAGGAGGCGGGGCCAAAATAATAAGGGAAAAGCTTACTATGACATCACACAAAATGAAATGATTTGCTATTTTAAACTGTTTAATAGCTTTAAACTACATCAATACTAACTAGTGCATGCATTATTGTCGTTGGTTAAATCCCACAGAGCAATATATAAACAATTCACAGATCACAATGCACTTGTCAATGTGACGTCATATCGTAAAATTTGACGCAGTTTGTATGCAGTGAGAGGCGGATCAAGTTATATTTATACAATGAAAAATGTATTTTGTAATCAAATAAAATATAAATTATAGATATTTAAGAGGCCATTAACTTAGATGCGATGTCTATTTTATGATTTTATTCATGTACTTCCCGTACATTCCCTAGACAAACGATACTGTCGTACATTTGTATGCAGATTCATTGAAGGGTAATTGAAGGGTCGTAATAAATCGATATATTGCAAGGGCATACCCTCAATGGATTATGACAAGCTTTCACACATAAACTCAAGAGGTATGAAGATATTTGAAAAGTGCTGCGAACCTGGTGAAATCTTGCAAATGAATTAATTATATCTATATTTAATATACTTGACCAGCAAAATATTCAACATACGGTCTAACAAATGTAATTTTAGCAATTAGATAGTAGAATCTATATAGGTTCGCAGCACTTTTCACAAACTACAAAGAGTGTTAAAAATAATTATATGTTAAACTTAGATTTTTAACTTGGTTATGCCCTTGCAATATTAGAATTTATAGATGACCTCAATACTTCAGGTATATTTGCTAAAATCACGTGACTGCCACATCACGTGACAAGTCTAAATAAGAAATCTAATCGTCCTCAATATGTAGTTTTCAACCACATTACATTTGTCCAATAATAGTAAAGTCCTAAAAAGAAACGTCCATCCTTGTAAAGAATGTATTTTCTATCTAAAAAATTCGCCAATATTTCCATTTGGCACCTTAACTGTACTGCGTAGCTCGGGAAAGATGTTTTTTGTCGTTAAATCAGGTCTGTCTTTATGCACGTTATAGCTATCTTTTTTATAATCAGTGGGTACAATTGCAACCAATTTTTTTCCATCTAAGTGAAAATTATCGAAAGTTATACCACGAGACAATTGGCAATTTAAAAGCACTTATATCGTCAAGTATCTGTATGAGCAATAAAACCATAATTCATTGTATGAAACCAAGGATTTCTTTTAAGTTTTAAACTCACTTTAATGGAACTGGAATAGAATTAGTAGAGTGGCATTGCAATACTAAGAAGCATGTATAACTATGAATTTAACTGCAGATCGTAGCTCACAACCAAAGTGAAAAAAAAAAGATGGGAGGACAAAAGTTTAAAGTCTATATTTATTTCTCACAAAAAAGTACCTACATTTTTCGATTTATATCTCTATAAAATTTGGCTACCACATCAAAAGTGCCACATTAACTGTTTGTTTCAACCACAATTTTTTTTACTATTTCCAAAACAAAAAAAATTCTCCACAACCGTCGAAAATAGCATTTCTAGTCTGAAATACTATGAATTCAGCTTATTGAAACTCCCCTGCTCTGTTCGGCTGTGTAGAGAATGGGAAAAATGTTTATTTTATTTTTTTATATAAAGAACAGAACTTTAGATACAATCCAAACAAACGCTATGTCGGAAAGTTAAAAAAAACCTCAAATTACAGCTCAATCCTCTAACTTAACTACAGAATTAAAGTGGCCTCCTATTTTGTACAAATCGCACAGGTAATTTCTCGTCCATGAACGTATGGTGGACACTGTAGGGAAAAACCACAATGTGCTTCTACCGGATAGAAGTATTTACCTCCCTTGGAAACGGGACCTGTCTTGGTCTTTTCTGGTCGTTCATCTACGCATGCATACTCGGTTGCAGACTCGTGGGTGAATTTATCAGCCATGAGATAACCAGCATATTCCAAGTGCCAACTATTGTAACATTTATTTCGTCCTGGAATTCTTAAAACTGATCTTCGCTTGGTGCTCCGACAAACAGCGCAAGGGACGCCATGTCCTCGTAGTTGTTCATCAAATGGAGTTCCAGAGATATTAATACTATTTCCCGCGTACTCGACAGCATGTAGATTCTGATTGTCGTTATTCAAGACGTCATTGTACTTGCCCCAAGTGGGATCGTACGGTAAACAAGCATAATTAACCGAGCCACCGCGATGTGAGAAAAAGCTACCTCCTACAAAGCCTAAAAGTAAGAAGAAGAATACGCATTTTATTTCAATAGATTATTATGATCGTATTTCATCTACTTTAAATATCTTCAATTTAAGGGTTCGGTCCCTTAAATTATACGTGATATCAAGATTATAGACCAGCTCAAATTCTCTACATTGAGTTTAAATATTCAACTTGTAACCTCGTTTGAAGTCACCATTGCGTTTTTATAGTCGATACAATGACATTGTCAGCAAATACAATCTATCATTAAGTCATATGCTGACTGACGTTTTTAATACTAATTGATAGGCCATTATTTTCATCCTCAATTGTATACTGATTTTTCTTTTTTTCTCGATCATAACAAGGAGCACACGGCGGGTGTGACATGTTGGCAGAGGATGCTCACTCCTCCATGGCACCTGATCCCACCTCTGATGTGTTTGGAGGTCTGTGTTTGCTCTACTCCCGACTTGTATTGTTTAAGTGGACTTTGAGCTTGAATACCGTTCGTTACCTCCATATTTCTCAGTACAATATCGTCATTACAGTACTAATGTTTTTTGATACAATACTTATTAATAAGAAAAAAAATCTCTTCTTGAAATTTTTTCTCTATAGGTCTGAAATACATATATATGATCACCCATGATTTGTGGTTGGATATGATTTTTATCCAACGAGTTGGATAAAAATCATATCCAACCACAAATTATGGGAGATTCTTTTCATCACATGTTTTATCATTCCTATCAATGTTTCACACTGTTTTTATTTATGAATCCACATAACTTTGCTTCATCTATTCACACAAACCTAATTGTGACGTCACAGCAGTGGGATATGAAAAAATATCCAATGAGTGATATCCACGAGATAAAGGGGTAAACGTAATAAATTTTGATAATTCGTATTTTCTTTCTGTGAAAGTGTCTTAAATTTACCATTAACGTGCTTACTCCCACTGTGGGTTCACTTGGCTAATAAAAACGGGATTTAATGAAGGATTTAAAATATAAACAACAACAGTTTGTTACCGCGAGTTAGATTACTGTATAGGGGATTAATTTCACGGGTTGTAATTTTCACGTTTTTCTCTAATCGGACACGATCGCGGTTTGTTGAATTCGCGGAATCTGTGTATAATAAAAGCTACCTCCCTTGTCTTTATCCGTGTAATCCATATAGCTGACTTCTATCAGCGTTATGTATTCACTTCACGAACAGGGTAGGTTTATATAAAATGGTTAGATTTAGTAGTTAACTGATGATTAATCAAAACAAGTGCCGTTATTAAAATTTTTGGACTATGAATGTCAAATGACTTCCCTATATGCTTTTATGATGAGTGCATGTGTACACATCTTTACGAAGGTATACACATCGCAGCGAAAAAAAAACCACTGGACGCTAATAAATGTATTAATGTAGGTAGACGTAATAATATCCTTCCATATCTTCAGCAAGTTCGATAGTTATTCGAATGATGTGTTTTCAATCAAAAATTTCCATAAAAACTAATACGCATTATACTAATGCAGGTAACAAATACACGTTATAACGTTACGCACGCGTAATCAAAACCCATGACCCATATGTTTTGATTGATGAAACATGTATCTATTAAAACAGCTTTTTAACAATAACAGGTTATTAACTGCTTATTTGAATTAAAGTAAAGCGTGATAATTAAGATCATTGAATGGCAAGTACTTCTCGGTAATTAATGAATGACCATGTATCATTGTATGTACATGTATATATGCCTATCGTAGTCTATTTTCAAATTTCCATATAAAACATTGAGGTTTAATAAATTATGTAAAACTTATTCACTGTTTCTTGAATTCACGGATTTATTAATACCGTGAATATAGCGAATATTAACACCGCGAGTTATTTTCCCCCTATACAGTATTTCATATTAAATAATTTTGTCTATTGTTTCATTCTTTTCATAAAGGTGCAGATGTCTAGAATTGTTTGGTGAATGTGCTACATATACCTTGATAAACAAGTTCCGTTTCATTTTCTGGACATTCATTTCTTCCCCACCGTGTATAAATTGCACCTCCACTTTTTGTTAAAGCTGAAAGTAAAACATAATCGGATATATTGACAGATTAATTGCTGAAACCAAGATTTTCTGATGAAATTGTGACTGTACTGGTTTGAATGCTTAACAATCATTCGTAATTAGAATATATTATACTTTCATGTAAATAAGTTGAATCTGATTCGTCGAGAAACATTTGTTAGAAAACACTATTACCAGCTGAGTAATGAAGCCACGCCCTCCAGCGTAGCAACAGTCAACATTGCTTGACGAAGGGTGAAATATCGACTATGCAGAATTTATGCGCGCAAGGTTCACTTTGAAGTGTATTTGTATGAAACATTGTATAATATAATAAATATTACAATGTCATGTAGTTGAGTGTAACATTGAAAAGTTTCACCCCTCGAAAACCATTGTCAATCTCGGCTGTGCCTCGGTTAACAATGGTTTTCTTGGAGTGAAAATTTTCAATGTTACACTCAACTACATGCAATATTTATATAATAGTAATAGCATTTTTCTGAATAAAGATAAAAAAAATATCAATTCAAGACACAAGAACCATTGTTTTATGTGTTGATTAGTATTAGTATATATGAATAACTAATCATAAATTAGTTCTTCACAGCGAGTCAATGACGTACTGTAATTATTGTTGTAAATACATGTTGGCAATATTCAAAAGAGAATTTACAATTTATATTTGGGTTAATTTTAAAACTTTATGGTGATAACCCGTAAAACAAACCTGTATTTGTTCCATTACAAACAACGTCCACACTTGAACTCCAATTACAGAGATCTTGTTGTGTCCTTCCAATTTGTGTTGACGTCTCATCATCAGTATCATTCATCTTCAAAAGCTGGTCTAGTTCACTCTGCAATCTTTGATTCGCACGTTGAAGATCATCCTCTTTCTTTTCCATTTCTTGTACTTTGGCTTCCATTTTCGTCATGTGTTTTTTCATTGTTATCATATCATCCACCAAGGAATACATTTGTTTTGTGAGTGATAACCTTATTACAGTTTCTTGATTCAACTGTTGTCTCAAATTGTTCATTTCTTGGTCCGATGACTGGTTGGCACAAACAACCATCAATGGAATTTCAGATTTCTGATCTGTTGTTAGCGATAGCGATATTGTTGTGGCAACTAATGTGCTGAACAACAGTTGGTGCAATGCTGCCATTTTAAAAATCGAAATCTACAAAGATCAAGCACATATATCATACAGACAAGATATCTTTTGTCGTATAATCAGGGCTTTCTAATTTACGATGTATTAATTTTATATAACGGATACAACTTCACCCAATATCCTTCCTTCCAAAGGTCATCAATTTTAATTTGGAGAGTACAAAAATTGTATAGTTATTTTTTAAACAGTAGATAGTTTTATGTATATAAGGACATGTTTGTTCAAAAAATTTTAAAATCCATTCTCTGTAATGACTTGAACTTTTATATCGTAGCTATGGCACGCATAGTCTCAACATTTCTCCAAACTCTATGATAAAGTCTTTGATACTGTAAACTCAAATCAGAAAAAAAAAATTGGTTGCTATGTGTCCTGGTAACCATGACATCAAAAGTCGAAATATGGCATTTTTAATATGTCCAGAGTCACATCATTAACGTTTGCAACAATGTAGAAAAGTGACAGTCACAGTTGAAGACTTAAGCTTGATGTCGTAAATGCATGATAAATATATTTGGAAAATATACTATTACATATGTTACTATGGAAACAAATTATTCAAATTTAAAAATTTTATTGAATCATTTTTATAAAGTCATACAATCAAAAATAAAAGAAATTATAGTTTTAAAATTAATGCAACCAAGTAATAGAGAAAGACCCCTCTAACATATTCAAAGGAAGAAATGTAATATTTTCTCATTGGTTTGAATGTTTGTTATGGTTTTAATACCGCAAAGGATTTCAAATTTACTCTCTGTATATTTTAATCTGATCCTGTCTTTTTCAAGAGTACGTTTCTATATAACTGATGATCAATTTTCAAAGGCAAATTCAAAAGCTAATTTCCACATTCTTAAATAAAGCCTTGTTAGGAGAATTATAAGAAAAAAATTGTATAAAAGGCTAAAAAAATATCCTGAAACACAAAAGAAACGCAAAATCCTATTTTAGGGGGAACTATTATATATAGGATATAATTTTGTATCTAAAAATTAAGAACATCTTCAACTTTGTAAATATCGGTAATTTAACGATTGAATGATTTTCATACCATTACCGGAAGTTAAGTTTGAGGTCCGCTTAACAGAAATCAAAAATGGCATATTTAACAAAACATTTATCCAAAATATGGAGTTTTAAGGATTTGTATCTGTTCATCATAAGTAATGCAGCAATGTTACGAAAAATAATTTCTCCTTTCTTTACCGTAAGCGATGCCAAGACTTCCTAAAATGACGTAACTACGCATTTCTATTGCTCTAGCTGGAACATCTCAAAATAAAGGCGCTGGAGAGTTGCAGATGCAAATATGCACCACATTACGCCTCAACAGGCTCTTACGTATCACTAGCATGAATGACAGTCCTTGGACCGGACGTCCAAGGGTTACTACACTGCGCTAGGCTAGAGAAAATTCTACCTCATTATCTGAAAAACAGGCATTTAAAAATGGCAAATAATATTTATTTCGCTCAGATCTCGAGATTGATGAAGCTATCGCATCGCAGAAATCAAGCTGCAACTGTTGCACATGGCAGTCTTGCACGCTGTAACTGAATGGGCGGGTTGGGGGTGCTTTAACATTCATGTGTTACTTTCTAAAGTTAAAAGATAATCATTTAACATTTTATCAAACTTCTGATGTTTTTAAATCGAGTTTTACCTTACTGTATTCATTTTTGAAAATCATTAGATAAAAAATTCAAATGTTTGTAGATTACTGCTTGTTGCGTTTCTTTTGCGTTTCAGTATATTTTTTTGTCTTAGAAACGCACCCTTGTATGTAGATTCCCAAAGCATTTATGGTTAGTTTTTAAGAGCAACTAACCCAAATTTCAATTTTGATTACCATTATCCCTACTGGATGCAAGAAACTATCACTTAAGTTTTGATAGTGATAAAAATTTAAACAATATTGAATATTTCCCAATCTTAGTAATAATAGTTATAGTGTCATTTTCTTCCTCAAACTTTAACAATGAAATATATGGAGATAACGAACAGTATTCAAGCTCAAAAGTCCATTATACAATACAAAATAGGAGCAGAGCAAACATGGACCTCCAAACATCAGAGGTGGGATCAGGTGCCATGGAGGAGTGAGCATCCCCTGCCGACCGGTCACACCCGCCGTGTGCTCCTTGTCATGATCGGGAAATAACGGAAAAATATCATTTTCAACTTAATTTCTTAAGTATAATTCAAGGTGTGTGAAATGCGTATATTTTTTTTTTATTGAAAGATAAGTAAATTCCTTAAGCAGACAAAAAAATATCACTTCAAGCCACTGGTATGTTGTTTCCATGGTTACTTTACAATGTAGCAATTAATCCCAATTTTCCTTATGCTATCTGTGTTACAAGGCCCTAGCAATGTATATTTGTCAATTGTGAATTTCCCTGTTCTCCCTTACATTAGTTCGGATTTTAACTGATATATTTTATACCATTTGCTAGGCCTTTGTTACTAAATTTGACTTCAAAATATATTCCGTCTACCTGATACCTAATACATAGGGCTCACGAGGATGTGAGCCGTCGACAGCGGAGGCTTACTCCTCCTATGCACCTGATCCATCTCTGTCCTGTTCACTGATTTTAGTTATTGATGTCAATCACTGTAAGTTAATTTCACCGTTTTCATTAGTAGCATAAACCAAAACTAAGTAAGCAATTTTATGTGGCTACGCCGTGTTACTATGACAACCGTGAGAGCTGTTTTTAGAATAAGATCGCCAACAATCAAATACTTTTACTATTTCTCTTGTGTTGTTGATTAATCATGTACATGTAACACCTATAGATCGTTAGTGAGTATTGAGCATTTTTCAGCATTTAAAATGTACTCCAAATATATCCATGATTACCACTTATTTGGAGATATATTCTATATAACTTCTTTATAGTATAAGTGGCAGCAAGGTGTAATTTTTTGTCTGATTTTCTTAGTTTTTATTAAGATTCAATAAGGATTAAAAGTAGCTAAAATAGCATTTATCAATCGTTTCACCTGTTACCATGGCAAACGAGAAACGAGACAGAAAAAAATATTTGATATATGTTTTTGGTGTCAAATTATTTGTAAAAATGGGCTAATGTTCATCAAAATCGGTGACCTTGCTTGCCGAAAAATTTAAATGGTTACAAGGAATAGCTCTTAATACCTTTTTCAATGTTAAATGTTTTATTTAATCATATATAAATGTCTGTACACCCTCTTTACAAATAGATCGGAATCTGTGGTCTACAAATACAGATATTGTGTCAACCTCAATGTGCGTAATCATTATTATACCCAAAAAATGATATAGAAATTGTTGATTTTTTTTCTAAGTCATTTTGGATGAATTGATCTTTTTTATAACTAGAATGTATTGATATATCCTCGATTCTTTTAATACTATATTCTGGAAAAGTTTTGCTCTGTTTATAAGAGGATTGTTCTGGAATGAGAATATACTAATGAAATAATAGTTTGATTTTTTATTATTTAAAATAGTTTTTTTAATATTTTAAATTCAATTAATTTGTTTTGACTTCAGGCTGGACAAGCAGGAAATGGGGGGGGGGGGGGGGTGTTCAATTCTTACGTAAACTCTGAATTCATTTTATTTGTCCATGTAGAGATACATGCATGTGTAACATAAGAAGTTTTAATTTACTCAGTTTAAACTAATCAATAATATTAGATTACCTGTGAAAGTTGTAAGCTTATTGCAGAAATAATCCCACTTTTTATTCAGGAATTGTTAAACCATTTGTGCATGACAAGTATCAGTTTTTGTTTTCACTTTTCCTTTAATTTACCTTAATTACATTATCTGACTGTGATAGATGGATTTCTTTCTTCTCTAATTCAATTACGAAGGGGGGGGGGTCAAATTATGCAACGTTTTACAAAATTGAAAAAAAAAATCATAAAGGATCATATGAAAATATGAGAAGACCTCCAGAGAATTTATATTATATGATAAGTTTTAAAATAACGAGCAAAATATGTCACATTCTGAACTTTAAGAAGTATTTTATATGCTATAAACCATATATTTTTCAGAACAATAACCCTAAAACTCAAGATTTCAAGCGTTATTTTCAGCAGCGGCTTGAGCATCACTGAAGAGACATAATTTGTCGAAATGCGCATCTGGTGCATCAAAATTGGTACCGTATATGATTTACATTATGACCCCTGGGTCGAGGCCTCTGCTGGTGGACTGTTAGTCCCCGAGGGTCTCTACAGCCCACTAACCTAGTACTTCGGTACTAGCTTAAAAATATGGATATATATTTAAATCCTGTGGTAATATTTAGAAATTTATTTCAAAAATAAGGATTATCTCCCTTATGCATAGCTCTGATCCTTCGAGGTATTTGGCTTCATTTTTTGGCATCTTTTTCAGCTCTTTCAAATCTTTTTCATTTAAATATTTTGGATTTCCAAAGTTTCGGCTTGAGCATCACTGAAGAGACATAATTTGTCGAAATGCGCATCTGGTGCATCAAAATTGGTACCGTTTATGATTTACATTAAGATATTTTACTAGAAAAAGACGTTAATGGTAACTTTTCAATCGTCAACTTCCCTTACTTATCTAGCAATATACACTCATTAAAAACTAAGTACATCAATTTATAGTAAAGCCATACCATTGAAAACTCCAATTAAAGTACACAAGACACATGCTCCTGCCTCCCTCACTCAATCAACTTTAAATGCAATTATATGCTAATACTTAAAATGATATCATTAACGAAACTCATATTCATCCACTTATGCTTGTCCTGTTCTTTATCCTTAGTGGATGAGAGTGTGTGTACTTTTCCAGTCATTTTTTTTTATCATTAGTGTGCAACATCTTTAACCTCTAATGAAAAAATATCATTAGTGAATGTTTAATCATTTAATCATTAATGGTTACGATTTTATCATTAAGAAACAAAAATGAATCCGTTAATACAACGTTTTATCATAAGAAGATTTTGTATCACTAATGGTTGTTACAGTGCAACACGATAACTAAGGGTCAAGCATATAATAATCAAGTGTTTGAAATGGATGGCCCGGTCACGATTTTTTGAAACACATTTAAACATATTCATGCAGGAAAAGACAATCAAGTAAAATCCTTTGTTTCTTCCGGAAGGAAACTTTATAAATAATCTGAATGATGGACACAAGGTTGGGAAAACACTGGAAAAAAATTATAATATTTTTCTATCCCAAGAAAAGTTTCCTTTGAAATGCTCAGTCAGCAAAATACTATCTGTCCAAAATATGCAGAATATTTTCAAATGAATAATTCCGAGAATTAAAAACGTTTTGGTTTTACCAAATTTTCCAACCTTTGAAGCTTGACCAATGATAACCATGGGCGTAATTTGCGGTAGTCGTACGTATATTGACTTCGTCTCCCAATTCAAGAACAAGAGGAATGGTGTTGGCACAGTTTTCGTAGCTTGGATTGCCTTCATTATTACAGTTTCCCAAGCCCTTTCTCTTGCCGTTTACCAAAAGTTCTGCATCAAATATTTTACGAGCTGCAACCAAAGTTGTCCACGAAAAGACATAAAGACCACCAGAGGGTGCCGTGAAGAAACCATTCAGTGGATTGTAGGCATTGCCAATTTGATATAAAACTGTGTCATACACAACATTGACTGGAGTGTTGCGTTGGAGATCTAATGTTTTGCTGATGGCTGCATTGAATACAACGGCTCTTTTATCTGCAGAAGAGACATAGTATAATAAAGGTTCAATTGTTACAATTGAGGCCGATCGAGAAATTATTTCGGAATACATGTAGTACGGTTACAAAACGCATGTGTTATTTTATTATGATGATAATTTTTAGATAGGTAAGTATCAGAGGAAACACTGACCAATTTAGGAAACAAAAATCATTCAGGTTCGTAGGAAGCATTTTTAGAGGGGGAAGGTGAACTGCCAAGCAAGAAGAAGAGGGGCACACGCATAAAGTAGCTACGTTTTCTATAGTAAACAATATACTGGCAAAATTCCCCTCCCCGGTTCCTAGGGCCATGTCATTTCGTCCTAAGATTGGCATAATGTTAATATTCATAAAAATTTTCTCGGAGATCTGATGACAAATTTTCGTTGAAAATATATGCTTACAATATTTAAAATTAAAAAACAAACAATTTACAGATTTAATTATAAAGTTTCATTAAGATAACACAGACCCATAGAGGTGTCACTGCAAACGGCGTCCACAGTTGAAGACAAATTAAGAAGATCTTTCTGTATCTTTCTAATCTGCGTTGAAATCTCATCGTCAGTATTGTTCATCTTCAAATACTGATCTAGTTCACCATCTTTCTTCTCCATTTCTTGTACTTTGGCTTCCATTATCGCCATGTGTTTTTTCATTGTTATCATATCATCCACCAAGGAATACACTTGTTTCGTAAGCGACAATCTTATTGTAGTTTCTTGATTCAACTGCTGTCTCAAATTGTTCATTTCTTGGTCCGATGACTGGTTGGCACAAACAACTGTCAGTGGATTTTCAAATTTCTTATCTGTTGTAAGCAACTGTGCTGATGTTGTGGCAAACAATATGCAGAACAATAGTGGACACATTACTGCTATTTTGTATTTCGAAATTACCGAAGATCAAATCAATAAATCATACAGACTTGATGTTTTTGCCGTTGAATCAGGCATTTAATTCCTTATGTATGATATTATCTTATTTAGTGTACACAATTGCAACCAATTTCGTTTCTTACATAAGTGAAGATCATTGATTTTTAGAAAATTATACTGCGAGAAAAGTGGCAATTAAAAAGTACTTAAGTCGGTAAGTACCTACGTGAATAGTAAATAATACTTCGTTGTATGAAACTAAGGACGGGTTTTTTTTTAAGAAGCTTTAATGCCACAGGAAAAACAATTAGTAGAGTGATATTGCCTTATAAGCGCGTGTAAATATGTGCTGTCTTAGCATTTTGAATGACATACTGCCTCTGGTCGTCACTTAAAACTGTTTCAGATTACGAAGTAGAGGTAAAGTAGATGTACCAGGGTGACATGATTGCCTCCGCTGACAAGCAAATTTTAAATAAAGTATCGAAAACAAAAAGGTATTAGAATTTTCAAAGTCCAAGGGCCATAACTTTCGTTAAAATCAGTAAATCAACACGACACTCATAATTATTCTGGAAGTAGTGAATAAACATACCAAAAGTCAGCTCATTATTTAGAGACATCGCAAAAACATGTCCGGAATACGGTGAATTACTAGATTTATTTAAGTCTAAGGACCATAGGTCTCGTAAAAATGGGTCAATTATTAGACATTTTTCAAATTCTAAGTGCCATATCTTTCTTTAAAATGTGTCAATTAACACGAACACAAATTTGTTCTGAAACACTGGATGAAAAGTCCAGTTTCCGTAAAACTGAAACTATATGGAAACCTTGCTGAAACTTGACGTTGAAGTTTCCTGTATAGTTTCCGCAATGCGGAAACTATATAATAGTTTCAGTAAGTTTCTGTAGGGTTTCCGTATACTGAAACTATTAGATTTGTTTCCTAATGGTTTCCGCAAAATGGAAACCAGCGTGATATTAAATTTAACGACAATGTAACAATACTTATTAGTTTCAGGAGGTTTCAGGTTCCGGAAACTGTTAATTTCGATTCCTTATGTTTTCCGCAATGCTGAAACCAAACTGAAATTCTTTTCATCAATTTTTTTTTAAAAGAATAGATAAATCAATTAACGTTACCTTTTTATTTACTAATGCATGCAAAGAAAATTTAGGGTTTTTTTTGTTTTTTTTAAATTAAATCTAATAATTCATATTCAGTTTACAACTTGTGTCCGCTCTGCGTATACTTATACATACCGGTATTGATATCAATTATAAGTACTGTTACTTTATAATGGTTTAGATTTGATTTTCTTGTTTCAATTGAAAAATGGATATTTAGCAAATGAAAAAAAATAATGGTATGTTTTTAAACGAAATCAATTCCTCTCGCGAGGATTTTCTACAGTTCCCTACTCGGAACCCCCCTCCCCCCCCCCCTTCAGGAATTGATTCTTTTCATAGCATACATCATGTACACAAAAATTACGTTTGTGTCAAGGGGTGATATATTTGGGGAGGGGGTATAGTTCCCGGTTCCTCTATTTACAATAACAGATTTACAAAATTAAACGTGTTTAATAAATAGTTTGTCTTCATATTGCATGAAATACAGATAATTACCAGAGCCAACATGATCCGAGATAACAAGATGACTGCACCTAGAGTTATCAGACATGAAGCGATATACGTTTCCCCCTGCCGTCATCTGACTTCAACTTGCTGCATATGTTCCATGATACATGTTGAAATATTACTAATTATGTATTTCAAAAGTTCTCTCTTACACCGTCGATTATTATGTTTAATTTAGTTGTTTAGATACACGTGCACTTGTGTATTATCTAATAAACGTGTTTAAAAAAAATAAGAACATATGTATAGTAATTCAGGAAACAAGAAAGCGCCATGTTAGCTAAAATAAATTCATAATTATAATTCTGATACCACCTGTCGAGAAATACACACAACCTTAGGAACTTTGGAAGCTCTTACATACGTGTCATTGTATGATTATAATGACAAGTGTGCCTTACTGATGTTGTTTACTTGTTTCTAATTTTCATTGATAATGAAATAATAAACGTGATAATGCTTCAATAATTTAATCTGTTAACAGCACAACACTACTGACTACAGGAATCCATTTAACTTGATGTATAAACTCTTTTTACTATATATTTAGTGTTCGACAGAACTATATAGCGCAATAGTTAGACATTTTTCTTATTACATTATGTTTAACATTATTTGTGTCTCTGTCCTCATGATCGAATACAAATTAACCGTAATTTAAAAGACGTTAATCTTATCCGTTCCCCTATAGAACCACTCATATTTATTTAATTAAGGAAGGCCACGGATTTACTGCATAAAAAATCTTAATACGAGAAAACATGTCCAGAAAATTTGATGTAAATGTTCTTTAGGATTTGCAGCATATTAATTTTTATCAAATTTGCCTACATGATTTTAAGGACAGATGATACAAACAAAAAAGGGATGCCTGGATTGGTATAATATTTTTGGGCCTATTTTTGTTGCAAATGATGCAAATAATAAATTTCTAAAATATTAAGAAATTGTAAACCTTCTATGACGTTCAAAATTCTACCTTTCTGCAACCATCCTTATTAATCTTTACAATTTTTTCACTTCAAATCCCGTTATTGTGAAACTTTGAATGAAAAAATTAAAATCTACCCGGTAAAATTTGTTCATTTTACTCATATAAACATGACTCAAGTTGTTATTTTCATATTTTTTGACAAAAGTTTGTTTGTATCGTCTGTCCTTAATGCAATATTACTGTAAACGCGGTATAGCTTTTAGCAATGTGTTTAATTATATTCGTATTGAGAAGCCTAATGTGATGAGTATGTGATTTAAAATGTAGAAGCAAATATCTTATAATACCATGCAGTGTGTAAGTTGATCATATTTTCAATTATTTACGTTGAACCTCACTCACGGGCACCTGTCTTCACGTGCCACAGGTGAGGACACGTGTCGCAAAGACACCTGCTTCTGTGTTAGTGTATTTTTGTATATTCTATGTGATTTGAGAGGTTTTTCTACCTAAGAGGAACAATGGACTGTGACCAAGCGTATATACATCAGCTGTATATGGTATACACACACCAGTAGCCTTTACTAGTGACACCAAGAATACTGAATAGGCAAATTAAAAAAAAATAATCTAGCACACACTAAATAAAACTTTACATAAAATCACACACATCAAATTGTTACAAAGAATATATATAATTTTTTATATAAAATGTTTCATACAAGCGTAAAATGTCGAGTAACATTTTTTTTAAGCGTAATTAATTGATTAATGTTGATTAAAAGAAAACAAAATCATCTAAACCGTTTAGATATTTTTCTATCAATCTAGTATAAATCTACCGGGAATCAGAAAATATTTGCTTGTTCAATATACTATTTCAAAATTTAAAGATAATATTTTTAAAAAATTGTACGAAAAGAAATCGGCAATCAGTGGTATTCCTTGTTTGCCACCATTTTAAACTTCAAATGTTGAAAATATAATGAGAATGTGAAAATACAGTCTGTCAGTGTTTTTTTTTTTTTCATGACTTTTTATTTGGTGTTTTATGAGAGTACACGATTTTCTATCTATCAAATTTAGGGCACTCCGTTTCAACAACTACTATAATTACTTTACATAAGCAGGTTTTACATGTATACCCCCGCGATCCCAATTTGATATTATCATGCAGAAGTGCTAATTCTGTGATATTCAAGAGAACTTTTGCAGTTAAAACGTGAAAGCTTTCTTTAAAAAAAAAACAAAAAAAACTGCAAAAATTATGTTGAATTTTCAATGTAAACAATGGACGGCCATTTTTGGTGAATCACTAGGTGGCGTATCGCGCCAGTATGCTTCTCGCTCATTGGATAGATTCTCAGTAGAAGAAAGAAGGACAAAATGGCGAAGGAAAGAATTTGCTCAAGAAAAATAATATCTAGATGAGAAGACCTTTTGATTCTACATAGACGAAAAGCATACCAAATGACAGATTGGATACAGGTAGCTATTTCCTATAGCACAATGACCTTCATTTTTGAGTTTATTATCTGAAATTGTAAAAAATAAGGTTGGGCTGAAATGGCGCGTTTCAAAAATTCAAAATGGCCATAGTACAGTTTTCATAATTGTGAAAAAAAGCTACTGGTAAATCATTCTCAGCTTAGGTAGTCATGTATAATTTATCGTTGATAGAAGGTCTGCATTCAGTTTGTACCATTGTATTGATCTTTCATGCATTTCGTATGATAAATAAAATATGCTATTGTATTCTTTTACATCATGTAAATCTTTACAACGTCATGTAAATTTTCTTTACAACGTGTCTTAGTATTCCGGAGTTTTAAATGCAGGTTGACTGTAATAGCGTTATGTACTTATATCCGGTGTTAACTTTTTCATTCGGAAAGGCGAAAGATCAGACCCCACGCTTATTTTTTTTCAGAAAAGGTGAGCTATAGCATGTATAGTGTTTATTATTCCTAATTGTATTCATTATAATTCATAGAAATAGGTTTCTGAACCCAACGTTTATTTTTGCTGAATTGTGTCATAATTATTGGTAGTAAACTGTGCTGCATTCCGGAGGAAGGGGGGTCATTTTTTTAAAACATAGAATGGTAAATATTAGATCATGTTGGGATAATACCCTCACTGTATCATGTAGTATTGTGTGTCTGTGTAACTGTGTAATGCCTATTTGTAGTTATGAAAGTAACATTCCTGAGAACCTGCAGACTTTGGGCTTAAGTTTCCTATTATCAGATTATCAACACAAAACTGAGTTGATTATAATATGAAAGTGACTTGATAATTTTCAGAAGCCTCATAATGTTCAAGTTGAAGTATTTTATTAAAGTTTCGAAAGCTATGATCATATATTAAACACATGTTGAAAGTGCACAATATACATCAGCATCTTGTCTTACAAGGTATATGATTATAA